CGGTGAAACGTACACGCACCGACGCATCGCACAGACGCACATCTCTGTTCGTTTGGAATATGGCAGCATGCCAGCATGGACTGTGGATGAATGGGACACGCTCACTAGGGGTGGGCATTTGGTCAGACCGAAAATTCGGTCTCGATTTTTGGTTTTTTTTTTTTTTGAAAGTCCGGTTATCTAAAACGCAAGACCTTTCGGTCTTGAAAAATATTGAAGACCGATCAATTCGGTCTCGGTGTCGGTTAGACCGAAATTTTAGAAATATTATGAAGAACCGCACAATTCCTCAATAAAATTTTAGATAAACAAATCATACTTATGAAGAAAATTCATAAAAATCCCAGATCAGCTTTCTTTACTGTCATATACTCATCGCAGATTGGCTTTGGCGCTGCTCATCACCGTCGGGGTGGAGGAGGCACCATCAGCTCGGGCTTGGCAGATGGGGGCTTGAGGCCTCCGGGCTTCGGCAGCATACTGAAGGTGGCAGCGCCAAGGCAGAGGCGACAGCCATGGCGCGCGCGGTGGATGCCTGGGCGATGTCGGCGCGGTGGAGGCTGGAGGCGGTGCTGGTGGACCGGCGGATGGCGGGCGGTGGCGACGACGGCGCGGTGGAGACAGGAGGCGGAGGGCGGGCAGTGGCGGCGCTGGCACGGTGCTGGAGGCGGCGCTGGCATGGTGCTGGAGGCGGTGCCGGCGCGGTGGAGGCAGGAGGCGGAGGGCAGACCGGCGGAGGCGTCGAGCGCGATGGTGAGAAGTGCAGCGCAGCGCTGTGGTGAGGGAGTGGCCGAGTAGGAGTAGGGAGCTAGGGTTGGTTGGTTGGATCTTAGGATTTTTTTTACTGGGTTTTTTGGGCCTCCTATGCCTATTGAGACATTTCGGTCATCTCGGTTAATTCGGTTAACCGGACCCAGTAACCGAAATACCTGAAATAAATTCGATCTTTCGATGACCGGAACCGAACAGCTACCCAATTTTTTCGGTTCGGTTCTTCGCTTCGGTCTAATTCTACCCACCCTACTCGCCCGCACTTTACACGGAGGACGCTCCGGCCGTACGTTCTCCATTCCATCGATCTCGGCAAATGCATGCAGTCGAGCCAGCCAAAAAAGTGCACCGCACAAAACACCCGCAAAAACGAGGCCGCGAGATCGCGATTCGGCAGACGCAGCGCTACGTACCTGCCCCGGCTGCGCTGGCCATTTCGGTTGGTTACACTGTTACAGTACAGGAGGAGCGACGGCGACGTACGCAGGGTTGTCACGTTGCCAATCTAGCTAGCTATAGCAATCGGTACTTTGTACTACCTGCGTTGATCAATGGCGGCTTGTTCATATCGATGTTATTTTGTTAAAGATATCAAAATTGTACATACATTTATGTTTTTGCCAAACTTTAAAAAATATATAGAGATCGTACTAAAATTTTGGTAATATTGTCAACTTACTAAAATTTTGATAATTGTTTATTTTGCTACCATCAGAACAGCCTATTAGATATGTCTTATATTCAATGACTGGGTGTGAGCGTGACACGTATCGGCACTTCACACAGAGGATGCGCCGTTCCATTCCATCCCCTAGACAAAGGTTGTGTTTAGTTCCTGAAAAAAGTTGGAAGTTTGGGAAAAGTTAAAAGTTTGTGTGGGTATGAAAGTTTTGGATGTGATGGAAAGTTAAAAGCTTAGGATAGTTGGGGGTGAACTAAACATGCGGTCAAAGAGCATGGCGATTATTATTAAACAAAACAAACACCCCGCGAGGCCGCGACAAGGGACGGATGGAGGACCCATCCATGATCCATCCATCCCCGCCTCCATCGCGCGCGTCGTGTCGTCCAAACACAAGTTGCCCCCGCGTGGGCGCCGCCCTCCTGTGGGCTGTGGCTGAGTATGGCCCGTGTGGTTGGTTTACAGCGACGGCGACGCGTGCGCCCCCGTGCGCGTCAGCGTCCGCGTCTCCCTCGTTGACAGGCAGGCCTCCCGGGTTTGTTGCCCATCCGTGATCCAGTCTGCCTCTCCCTGCGTTTGTACACACCTGCACTGCACTGCACAGGTTTGGGAGCTGCGTTTATCCATGACTTCTTGTTACTTTAACCACAACGGGTGGTTTGTTCCCATCTGGATTCTGGAGTGCTGTCGTATTTGGCTGGGAGCCTGTGTGACCCGACCAACGCAGTACGTACGCACGTTAATTCACCTGGGAAAGTGGGAATGAGGTTTAGCAAACCCCCCCCCCCCCTTCAGATTATTCATTATTCACCTTATTGAAATATATTATTTGGTTTATGCTATGAAACATACATTTTTCTACTGCATTTCTTGGACCACTGATTTTAAGGTACTTTTTAAGCTTGTTTTTATAAATATAAATTTATTCCACTTAATAACATAAAAAAGGTTTATAGGAGAAGCTTTATAATTAGCTAATAATTAATTAAATGTTAACTATTGCATACTTAAAAATAAATTTATTTGATATTTAACAAACCTTTAGATAGAAAATTTTCTCAAAAATCACACAATGGAGTGGTTTCAAAATCATGGCCAAAAAAGCATGTAACAAGAATCTGAAAAGAAAAACAGGGCCGAAGTCTGATCCTAATCTTTTGGGGTATCCGATTTGGAGTCACATCGGTTGGTCTAATAAGCTAAAGCAAAAGTTAAAATTTGAATTTTTAACTTGATTTTAAAGTTAATTTTAAGGTATTTTTAACTTAACTTTTTCTATATTGATTTTTAAATCGCTGCGAACAAACATATAAAAATTTTACCTACAAATTAAATTTTATCTCCTAATCAACCATTTTGTCTTATTAGGAATACGAGCAACCGATGAGACTCTTGGCTGAAGAGGAAGAGTTTGATAAGGAGAATTTTTTTTCTGCCTGGCTCAAATTTGGCTGTCCAAGTCGGTGACACACACCTGAGCAAGTAACAATAGATTTGGCACCTTCTAGAACCAAGCTTATAAAAAGAGAGCTTCTGACTGTTCTTTTTGCAGCCATATTCCCTAATAAACATGTTTATTATGGAACAAAAATTAATTTATATGTAAAACTTTTATATATACTTGTTCCTAACAACTTCAAAGCGAATGCTCAAAGAAATTACATTGAAAATATCTTAAAATCAACTTTAAATTTAAATTTTGGCTTTTACTTTGGCTTTTTGGGCCAACTGATGGGCTCTAATCCTGTCAGCTAATACATAGAGATTTCAAGTCCAATTTCATTGCTGGTCTAAACTGATTAGCCTCCATTATACTTGGTTTTCAGCCTAGAACTATATAATAAGTGGCTATAGCTTCAGTTAAAGTAAAGGCCGGATTTTATCCATTATCTATAAAACACAAGTCAGTCCAATGATTCTCTTCTACAATAGTCTACAGGAACACCTGCTTTGTCTCTCTGTTTTTTTTCAAGAGTAATTAGGTGGAAGAAATCAATTGTAAAATGTTGCTACCAAGTATTACACAATTGGACTACAATGAATATGGACATGAGCATAATTCAGATTCATTGTATTAGGCAGTGTCTTAATCATATACTAAGTAGCAACATTTTGAGAAAGAGATATTACATACATTGTTACTCCCTTCGTTCTAAAATATAAAAGTTTGTAGGTTGTTTAGCAGATACTTCTCCATCTTAAAATATGACAACTTATAGCATTTAAAATTTATCTCAAACTATAACTATACATTCATTTTTCAACCAATCACAATCTTACACTATTCAAATTCTCCATCTACTTTCTATTCACAACTAATCACAACCTTCTCCCATTTAATTTAATTAACTTTCTTAATATGCATGTTGTAGTCTAAAACTACTTTTATTTTAGGAGAAAGGTAATACTGAGGTTTGATCAAAAGATTTGTTTTTAGTGATGATTTTTTTTTAATTTTGAACCGCTTGGATTCCTTTTGCAAGTATCTGGTTGGCTCTAGAATCATTTAAATGATGGAAAACACTACAGAAATATTTATATTAAGTACAAAATTTAAATATTAAGCATACTTATATTTTGAAATGGAGAGAGTAGTTCACATGCGCCAGGTTGGTGTCCGATTTATCAAATGATGGAAATTTTGGTATGGGAAATTGTTCTACCTTGGCTCACAATTGGCTGTCAAGTTGGGCAGGCAAAAACACCGTACACAAAAGCAAGTGACAATGGATACCTCCTAGAACCAAAGTTCCAGAAAGAAGGCTACACTGTTCTTTTGCAGACAGTGACGGAGCCACCTCTCGGATAGATCGGGCGGTCGCTCAGGCTCCGCCGCTGCAATCTTCTCTATCCATAATCATCGTCACTTATAAAAATTAGTTGATCATTGAAAAATATTATTAGTTGTTCGGGTTTAGGATGTTGCTGGCTCCGCCACTAATTGCAGTGATGGCATTGCTGTAAAATAAAAAAAAAAAGGTGGAAACCGCTGTAGCTGTGGTAGCCAATAAAACAAGTGCATGAATGTACCCCTGGAAGGCACGCGCCACTACATTCCATCTGCTCTGCTAATCGTCCTACCTACCACTTCAAGGTCAAGCCACATGCCTTGTTGGAAAGAGATGCTGATCCTTTCAGCTAACACAGCAACTTCAGTCCAATTTCATTTAACCTAAAATGATTAGGCTTACATAATCCCCCTACAACACAAGTCAGTCCAATGATTCTCTTCTACAACAGTCTACATGAACACCTGCTCTCTCTGTTCTTTTCCAGAGTAGTAATTAGGTGGAGGAAATCAACAAGGGAAGGAACCTATTCAGTTAACAGAATCCTGTAGCTAATTAAACAAAGAATCCTACTTAGCTTGGTAAGCATAAAAGGATGCCTTTGATGGCATGCATGCATCAGAAAGGAACAGCAGTTCATGTGATCAATGGAAAGTTAGCTGACGAGAAGCTTAACAAACTACCTTTACATGTCAAAGTAGCTAGACTGCCAGAATGAAATGGAGAAGCATTGGGAAGTGAGCAAGAAAGATGAGCACTACACAAAAAAAGTTCATCTTTTTTTTCCTTCTCCTTTTTGACCTCACAAATGTGTACAAAAAACAATACCAATCGTCGTCATAATTTAGCTGCAAGAGGGAAAAAAAAGTTTCGAGGATGCACTCGAGTGTTTCACATTAACTTTGCATTTGTGCCGGCAACTTACGCCTTAAAAATCTCATCTTTGCAGTGTCTGAACACATGAAGAAAACATCAATAAATACACTGTCGTCCCTAATCCTCACCTACTAACACTAAAATTGTGACTAATCTATACACACCAATAAAGAATCCTTATGACCAAAGAGAAAAAGAAAAACTTTTTTTGCGAAAAGATAGAACAAACACAGCGCCAATTCGTGCACACTGCCAGGGAAAAAAAAAGAAAGAACAAAAAAGAAGAGAAATTTTCAGGAAAGAATGGGTTTTTTTTTTTTTTTGCCCCCAATCGTGCCAGGCCTTTTTCGTTTCCATTCAACCGATTCATTCGGATGATTCGGTGCCATGTCGCTGTGAAGTTGTTAACGAGTCTGCAATCCCATCGTGATCATGGAGATGGAGAAGATTGATCTCACCAAGAAATCCCGCCATTAATTCGCAGCAGCAGCAGCAGCAGGAGCAGCAGAAGCATCGGAGATGTCGATGTCGCTTTTGGTTTCTTCTTCTTCTTCTCCTCCATTCCATGGATTCCCCATGGCGTTGCTTTCGCGAGGACCAGCTAGCTGCAGCACGCGACTCCAATGGCGACGACGCAATGCCGATAGGGACATCGCGTCAGCGATGGCATGGCGGCGACAATGGCGTCAATGGCGCGGGATTGGGTGGCTAGTCAGTGTCAGTGAGGTCAAACTGGTCTGTCCCGGAGCGGGAGAGGGCGCGGCGGCCGGCGCCGGTGACGGTGCCGGAGCGGGAGAGCGACGCGGCGGCGCAGGCGGCGAGGGCGCGCTCCAGGGCGTCGACGACCTCGGTCATGGACGGGCGGTCGCAGCCGACGGGGCCGACGCAGTCGGCGGCGAGGTAGCCGACGTAGGCGAGCGCGTCGGCCTCGTGCGGCGTCGGCGGCGGGATGCGCGGGTCGAGCACCCGCGCCACCTCGTCGGCGAGGATGTGCGGCACGGCGAACTCCACCACGTTCTTGGGCGTCACGCTCTCGGCGTAGCGCTGCACGACGCGGCACCCGGACATGAGCTCCAGGAGCACCACCCCGAAGCTGTACACGTCGCTCTTGTCCGTCAGGTGCTGCATCCGGTAGTACTCCGGGTCCATGTACCCCACCGTGCCGCCCGTGTACAGCGGCCTCGAGCTGCTCCCCTCGCCGCCGCCGCCGCCGCCGCCGCCGCCGCCGGCGGTGGCCGGATCTAGGATGGAGGAGAGGCCGAAGTCGGCGATCTTGGCCGTCCACGAGTCGTCGAGCAGGATGTTGGCCGACTTGATGTCGCGGTGGATGATGTTGGGCACGGCGTAGACGTGCATGTACTCGATGCCGCGCGCCGCGTCGAGCGCGATGGTGAGGCGGCCGCGCCACGCCGACACCGGCGGCGCCATGGGGCTCCGGCCGTGGAGCTGGTCGTGGAGGGTGCCGTTCGCCATGTACTCGTACACCAGCACGCGCTCGCCGGCGTCGGCGCAGCAGCCGAGGAGGCACACGATGTTCTTGTGGTTGGCGCGCGCCAGCGCGGTGAGCTCCGAGTTGAACGCCGTCTCCCTGTCGCGCCGCCGCGCCGGCCTCGCCGCCGAGCTCGACGACTTCGCCTGGTCCTCGGCGCGCTTGATCGCCACCTCCCGCCCGTCGGTCAGCGTGCCGCGGTACACCGACCCGAAGCTCCCCGACCCGATCCGCCGCTCGTCGGAGAACCCGTCCGTCGCCGCCTGGAGCGCCTCCAGGGCGAAATGCTCCACCACGCTGCCCGGCCCCTTGCTCGACCCATGCCGCGGCAGCATCAGCGACATCGCCGCCGCTTGGTCCGCCTGCCCGCCCCTGCCGCGCCGCCGCCGCCGGCGACACCACATGAGCAGCGCGAACTGCAATGCCACGAGCAGCACGAGGAACGCGCCCGCGGCGACGGCGACCCAGATGATCCTGCTCCGCTTGCTGCTGCTCTTGCCGGGGCCAGGGCCGAGCGACGACGCGTTGGGCGTGGCGACGTTGAGCTCGAACGCGCAGTCCACGCAGATGCAGCGACCGGAGGCGCAGAGGTTGGCCGAGCCCGGCAGGACGCCGCACCTGCATGACGACATGGTCACGCACGGGCCCGGGAGGACGCGGTCGAACACCAGGCGGTTGGTGGCGTTGAACTCGTGCCCGCCCCAGCAGACGAGGGAGTAGTTCGCCATGAGGACGCCGCAGAAGACGCTCCCGTGCGCCTGGACGTCGACGTACTGGAACCCCGCGAGGCTGTCCGGCGGCGGCGCCACGCCGTCGCCGAAGCAGCGGATGGTGCCGTTGGTGCGCAGCCCGCAGACGCCGTCGGTGCCCAATGCCAGCGCCGCGTACCCGGTGGTGGCCTCGTCCTCGCCGCCGCCCACCAGCGGCGCGCCGTGGCCCCAGCACGAGAGCGCGCCGGACGTGGACAGCGCGCACGCGCGGCGGCCGTGCGCGGCCACCACGTCGAAGCTCCCGCCCTCCGGCGCCGAGCTTACCGCCTCCGTGTCGTTGCCGAAGCACCGGATGGACGCCGGCCGCGCCGCCTGGATGGCGCACACGAACCAGTCGCCGACGGCGACGGAGACGAACCGGAGCCCGTCGGGGATCTTCAGCCCGCGCCACCGCCAGCAGTGGAGCTCGCCGCTGGAGAGCACGCCGCAGACACGGTACCCACCGGAGGACAGCGCCTGGATCGGCGGGCCGAGATACACCCTCTTCGACCTCCCGCCACCATCCTTCGTCCCGTTCGTCTCCGGCGTGTTCGTCCGGTTCTTGGACAGATCCCACCACCGCATCGCGACGTCGCCGGCGCGGAGCGCCGACGGGCCGACGGCGCAGAGGAAGTGGTCGCCGCCGGCGAGCGCGGAGAAGGGGTGCGACGACGGGTACGTCTCCTGCCGCTCGTGGTCGCCGCCGGCCTCCGTGCAATTGAGGTCCACGAGCAGCGGCGACGCCGCCGACGGCAGCAGCGCGCACACTATCGTCGTGGACTCCGCCTTGGCCATGGCGAAGGTGGACAAGGTGTTCGACGCCGCCGTCCGCAGGAGGAGCAGCACCGGCAGCAAGAACACGAGGAGGCGGGCACCACCATGGCCATGGCGGCGAGACGGCGGCATCGGAGAGCGCAGCGGGAGGAGGCGAGGTGGGAGAAGAAGCAAGGGGGCAGGTGGGTGGACATGGACATGGCAAGGCACCACCACACAAGCTAGTGTGAGGAATTTGGTGAGGTCAGGTGGTGGTGATGATGGATTTGGTCTCCTACCCAGCTCCTTCACCTCACTTCTTCTTCTACTACCACCACTGCATCTGCAGCTGCTCATTGCATTTTGCATCCACTCCACACTCATCTACTACTACTACTACTCAACTGAGCTTAATTAGCCTAATTAGCCACTTGACAACCCCCACTAATTAGCCAGTGATTAGTGTGGCTAATTGACAACCAATGGTGTCAAAAATGAGAATATTACTACATAAACATCAACCAAATGTTGCTGTCCTGCCTTTCTGCCAGGACAGGACTACACTGATCTCACTGTTAGAGCATGTGAGGATTATGAATTGTTGATTGCTTCTTGGAGGATGTCTCCTCTTTGGAAAACTACTTACCACCATCTAATTAATAACAGATTGATCATACAGTGCAAAAGAAAAAAAAAAGTTCAGTTAGCCTTTTGATCTCTCTACATGTAGGAGGACATCAATTATGGATAGGTGAAAGTTACTTCTTACTAACCGGATTAGAAGAGAAGAAAAAAGAGAGTTTCTCAAAAAAATAAAATACAATGAAAGAAGAAAAGGGGGAGAGAGAAGGTAGTACTACTGAGGGTGAGTGATGAGCTGAAACTGATTAGCCCATGCCCACTCACTTAGGATAGGTCTTTGCTAAAGAATCTTCACCCATTTTTTATCCTTCATTTTTTAAAAAAAATTATTTTAGGGTTATGATTTTGGATAACTAGATTGGAAAACAGCTCAAGCGCACCATATGACATATGTCAATGAGAAAGGTGAATTAATGATTACCAAAAAGTTTGTTTTTTTTTGTCATGGTAAAACTCATTTTCTTGATCCTCACTTTTCTGCTTACTCTGATAGTAAAAATTAGAAAGAGATAAATGATTGAGAAAAACGGCAATAGATGGAGGGTGACCATGTCATGTTTTCCCAGTGACAGGAGTGAAAACATATAGTGCACACCACCACTTAGGAGCCTCCTTTAGATTGGAATAATTTTGAAGGAATTCTTACAAAATTAATGAGCCCTTTGATAAAGTATTTCTCCTTGCTTGAAACAGCGTCCTACTGTTTAATTAATTAGTTCTTGTGTTTTCTGCAACCCAGGTCTGAACCTGCAAATACTAATTTTGAAATCAATCATATATAGGAAGCAGCGAAGCATGGTGGTAATGGACCACTCAATCACACTGCAGCTTAACTGAAGATCACTTATAATTAGATACTAGGTACATGTGGAGTCTAAATACAAATTAGAGAGATCACACACAGGACTCGGTTTTTGTGTTGGTGACAGGTTCAGAGCTGGACTTGGACATGTTCAGTTGTTGGGGACTCTTGCAAGAAACGTACATTTCAGGCCAGCTCAATCGCTCTCCTCCTTCGTCCCGGGCAACGACAGGTCGAACAACCTCCCCTTGTTAGTAACTGCAAAAAAATGGAGAAAATTGCTTTGTTAGAATAGAGTTTAAAAACCCTATTAATCCGACAACGACATGTGTACCTTATGGAAGAGGCCGCCGGGCCGGGGATGTAAAACATTTCCATTGTCTTAAAAAAAAATCTGGCAACGAGGAGATGGAATCCAAGCCAAGCCACCCCTGGGTTTTTAATTAACTAGTACTCCCTCCGTATTTTAATGTATGACGCCGTTGATTTTTTAACAAATTTTTGATCTTTCGTCTTATTTAAAAAATTTACGTAATTATAAATTATTTTATTGTGACTTGATTTATCATCAAATGTTCTTTAAGCATGACATAAGTATTTTTATATTTGCATAAAATTTTTGAATAAGACGAGTAGTCAAACGTTGGTTAAAAAGTCAACGACATCATATATTAAAATATGGAGGGAGTATTAGTTATAAAATTAATGGATGTTGAGCACTGAGGAAAGAACATGGCTGGATTATTAAATGTGTAACATGGAGTAGCGTATTAGTTGTACCATCTCCTAATCATGCAATGATCCAATATAACCCAACCGAAACAAATACAGTACAGTACTAACACTGCATCAAGAACAACTTGCTACCAACGCAGTGACATTGACCATGGACTTGTTGCTAGATAGACCTATGAGCAATGCGATATCATCGTTGCAGGATCGAGATTCTTGTCTATATGTATTGCAAGTACATGAAATTTTTGAATTTTGTTCTTTAGTGTAAAGTACAAACTTGAGCCAAATTAACAATCAGAGCAATCTAATTGGCACGTGTTTGGAACACAGGAGTTTAAACGAGACCCTCAAGTAGTACATTTCAATTCCTGCAGAAATTCGCGAAGAATTATTCAAACACTATACACGGTCTCGGTCGTGTTCTTCGTTTCAAAAAAAAATTCACCCTCCAAAAATTTTTGGTGGTTCTACTACTTCCATGACTGCATCAAGAGAGCGAAAGCTTTGTTCTACATGATTTGGTACTAGTTTGTTGTGTGTGACGGGTCAAATTGACTATATGCTTATAGTGTTTTCAACTGTTGGGGTGTCTGATTCGACTTTGTTTCTTTCATGTACGAGAGAATATCAATTCTCACCAAGCTAAGATCTGAATCTGATATCAGCAGGTCAATGCTGTCGTGGAAAAATTATCCATTAGAGAGGAAATAACGATAAGACTGGATGTGATACAAGTCATCTAATCATCGTTATGCCACCGGTTCTGCATTGGCTCTTGCTATTATAGACTCTACCAAGTTTACTACTTTTATCTTTTTTGGAAAAAAAAAAAACTATCTACATGTCTAGAGTTAATCCCTACTCCATTTTTTAAATATCAGTCTGATACCTGTTGCTCTTTCCAGCAATGATCTTGGACTGAGTCTATGTTATAATCTTGATGCTCTGATTTGCTTGTTTAAATTGATAGACCTTAATTCTTTTGTATTATCTGATTTAAGTAGATATATGTATTTTACAATTTACAATATTTTACCTTTTCAGAATAGTCTGGCGTGAAGTTTATTTTTCTGCAGGATGGAAAGGATTTTCTTTCAATACTTTGCTCTAAAATATAAACAAGACAAGTGTTCATATTGGATCAGGATGGAGAGCCCAAAACTGACATGACAACAGGTTTCAGTTACAGTATTGCAGTTAGACACTTCCCATATGAATACATTACAGTATTTGAACGGATATTCTTTTCCTTTGTCTATTCAATTCATGAATAGTCTGACGTGCTATCTGAAAATATGAATCTCCATGTGCACACCAGACCGGCCCATCACACCATGCTACATATACTGCTACGAGTAATCGAATTATTCTTATATGCACAATTTGGTAGCTTAACTATATGACAAAACCAATTATTTTGCTTCTAACTACTCACACCAGAAGGTAGTGACACATCAAAATCAGAACAGATTGTCATTATGTTGACTTGTTAGTGTGAACAATCTGCAGAGACTAAATTTTGAGACAGTATGCTCATGCCATTAGTAGCTGATTACTAGTTGCCAAACTCCAGGTTGTACTCAAGAAAGCTGCCCATATGCTTCTTTTTTTTGCAACCTTTTCTTGTGGAGAATTCTGAAAGCTCACGGCATTAATGTTTGTCTGAACCTGTTTCATTTTTTAGGTACAGAACATCAGCTGATTTAGAGGAATGACTTATTATACAGAGCAAAGCAGAATATAAGAGCATCTTTTCATTTTGTCTTCACCTTTTTGTTCAACTAATTTTGAGAGTTTCAGGTCTGCACAATTAGGCCATTATTTGCTAATTGCCCTCCTACAGTTAAGAAGCCAAGTAACACAAATGCCACCCCCAAAGTGCACTATCATCTTTGTAATCACTTTAGATTACATTACTATCCTACTCTACTGAAAAGCTTCAATAGATATATGACCACACTTAATGGCACTTCTCTTTTTTCAGAGGAATACCACTTTTGTTGATGAATGTGACTGCCCATGCATGCTGCTTGGAGCCACCATTTCATGAACCCCTCTAATATTATAGCTCATCCAATTAGAAGCTGAGTTTGTGCTCTTCCTATCTCGTGCCAACAGTGTATCACTTTTCTAGAGACTAGAGGTCTGGATGTTTAGTAAGGTACTCTTTTCTCCTTGGGCAACTTGTGAGCTACTGCTTCTCTGTACTTGCTCTGCCAAGTTCTTCCCTTTGTTGTACTCTGAACTTGACTTTTCTGATGCATATCAGTAATTCAAGAAGAAAAAAACAAGCTTAATTAGCTAGCTCCATCACATGATCTAATTAATGGATGGTGACCCTTCTCTTGCAAGGACTCATGTTGCAAGTTAACAATTTGGTTTTTTGAAGATGGTTAACAGTACAGATGAAAGAGAGAGCTACACACAGATCCTCGTAAGAGCAAGCCATAATACAAGTTTAAACATGAGAGCTACCCATAAATAATGGGTATGGGTGCCAGGGATGTGCCTCTAGTCTAAACAGAGCTAAGTCTAAACAGAGCGTGTGTTAGGAGACGCACTCGTGAATATGCAAGTGTGGTGCGCGCGCTTATCTGTCCTACATGTAACCTGGAAAAAGGAACATGTTTAAACATGAGAGGCCCAACAAACATATCAACAAATTAGTTCTTTGGATCAATTTGTCAGAAACTAATACTCCTACACTAGGACCAGACTATGGGCAGTTGCACAGTAAGCATTGTCAGTCCATAACCCCATGTCCCCATATATGTTGTTTTGTCTGGTTGGTATGTAAGAGACCACAGAATCTGAATTGTTGGTTGGAGGTACAAATTCACCAAACTGGCCATACTTGCTTCCAACCATTGATAATGGGAAGTAATGCACACCATATATATCTTCTTCTCTACTAACGATCTTGCCCAAATTCATTACAATTTAATGAAGCTGTTGGCACACACATTTTGCATCATCTTTCTAGACTTCTACACATGTGTTCATTTATATTTTTGAGAGAATCTATTCTATACCACTAAGTTTGTTCGAGTTCAACGATTTACCATCGACATTGTCGCTTTCTATAATATACCGATGACTTTATCAATTGTTCTACAACACGCCATTGGACTGGGCCTTCTTTTCAAAAATACCCAAAATACCCTTATGAACATACAAGGTTAACAATTGATTTATCTCATTAGAAGTTTCAAGAAAATATGAAAACTTTTATGTGGCCTCCTTACACAACATGGAAATTTGTATACAAGTTTTAAGTTTTTTACATGTCTATTTTTTAAAAAGAAAATATAATTTATTTGTTATATGCTTTGTAAATACTTTTTATTGTTGTTTTTATTATATATCATCTTTCATACACTACATAAGATATTTTTGTGCTATTATCTCTTGTATTAGTAAATTCTCTCTCATATACCAAAAAAAAACTGGAAACTTCCATGTTGTGTAAGGAGGCAAGTTTTAAGTTTTTTACATGTCTATTTTTTAAAAAGAAAATATAATTATTTGTTATATGCTTTGTAAATACTTTTTATTGTTGTTTTTATTATATATCATCTTTCATACACTACATAAGATATTTTTGTGCTATTATCTCTTGTATTAGTAAACTCTCTCTCATATACCAAAAAAAAAACTGGAAACTTCCATGTTGTGTAAGGAGGCCGCGTAAACTTCCATGTTGTGTAAAGAGGCCACATAAAAGTTTTCATTTTTCTTTGAAACTTCTAATGAGATAAATCAATTGTTAACCTTGTATGGCTCTAAGGGTACTTTGGGTATTTTTGGAAAGAAGATCTAGCCCAATGGCGTATCGTAGAACAATTGATAAAGTCGTCGGTATATTATAGAAAGAGACAATGTCGATGGCAAATTGTTGAACCCAAACAAACTCAGTGGTATAGAATAGATTCTCTCTATATTTTTCTGTTTGGAGTAACTTGCTGGATCTACTCCATCAGACACCGATGTAAGAAGATCAAATGTCACATTCCCGTGTAGCTTCCTGCATCTGACCTTTCTACAACACTTGCTTCAACAAGTGTAATGTTCTCACGGCTCCATCTGTCAATAGTACATGATGTAAATGTGTGCTAGTATACTCATTTGAAAACCTTTTTCAGGTTCCATCAACGAAGAAGACAAGGGTTAGTTTAAGAAAAAAAAAAGGATAGAATAACAAAATGGATTAAGAAGCACACTTCCTTTTTGTTTTAACAGAAAAAGAACTACTTTGGTGTCAAGTTTGTATCAACAAAAGGGACCAAAGGGAGTAGAAATAATAACAACTAAGTTAGTAAAAAAAAGGCAATCAGTTTTCTGAACATTGATGCCATCCTTTTCTAATGCCGAAAGGCGACCAACCCTGATTACATATCCACATTGCCACGCCACACACATGATGAGATGAACAAAGACAAAATACAAATCCAGCAGATAGGTACATAACAAGTTAGCACAGCTGCACTGGTATATATTTGCCATACAAGAAAAAAAGAACATGAGTACCAACAGTATGAGATGGTTGAGTCAGAATGAATTTGTCAGTGGAGTGTTGCAATCCATGAAACTCAATAAGCAACCTTTTCCTTATACATCACGCGTAGGAGGGCTCAATAACTGTTTTGCTTTTGTCAGTTTTACTCTCAGTCCACATCATTCTATGGGCAATTCACATTCAAGAATTTTTTTAAAAAAATCAATTTCAAGTCCCCTTTTTTTTTTTGCCACAAGGGTTACAGATGTTTCTGATCTCAATTAGAATTAAAACACTTCTGTCCTCTAACCCTTGGAAAATCTTCTCTTTTGATGAATGTGAGGAGGCTAATGTTGCAGCCTTGCAGGCACATACAAATATAATTCCACACATGTGCTTCATGACCTCAGAAAAGATCAAACAAACCTGGTGATAATAAAGAAATGCCACAAAACGAGAATATATTCTAGAACATAAACGCCCGATTTTTCATCTCGATATACTTTTATATGAATTATTGAAGGCTCTATACAAGCCGCAAGATTATCAAGTTGTTACGAGTAGGAAGAAGCAAATAAATATGAATCGGCTTTATGAATGTGATAGTGAAATAGTTCCATGGAAAATATCTTCAAGAAAAGGTTGTTACAAGAATAATATAAGGTTTGAAGGGCAAACTACACATAATGATATAGATCCAGTACCAAACAACGATGCAGATATATAATTTAGAAAAATGTAGAAGCATATACGTCAATGCAATCTAGAAGAATAACAAATGAACATATTTGGAGACCAATGTGACTGCTTTTAATTGGACAAATGCATAGAGGTTTTCATAAGAAATGTAGTTTATATTGACGAGGAGACTTCATATCTTTTCCTTTATATCGTTCAGCGTCGCAAAAGAGACAGAAGAAAGCATTCAAACGGCATACTTTTTTTTTAATTTTTGCCAGTGTGTTACAAAAAGTGAGAAAAATAAATACTCATGTACCAAAACTTCTGCCAGGCAGACTAGCAATGATAGAGATACTCCAATACATTAGTGCAAACAGGTGATAAAAGACTACAACCTGATGCTATGTCCGTGATGAAGGGTCAAGCACATGCCCCATGAATATTACTGTTCCAGAGACCTCCTCCCTAATCATGAAGAAGAACGGATGGTCGGCCTTGAAGTGTTGTGCTGGCAAAGGCTTGCCCAAGCCCATTGATACTGAAGTTTCTTCAATTCCTTTTTGATCAACCTCCAAAACCGCTTTATGAAGTACATCAGACAGAAACAGAGGACCACTTGAGTCATCTTCCTTGATCATGTCAGAGAATTCAGCTTCCCGGAGGAAAGGTAGTTCAAGCCCCATATCTTTCAGAAAATCCTTTACATCGATCTGGAAAGATATTTTAAAGTTGGGCACCGAGATACCCACATGGCATTTCTCTGTTGGTAAATGTTGTTCTAGGAACATTGGTTCAGAGAAAATCTTCTGGGTTAATTCAAACAAGCCATCATGATCATCAGGGAGGAAAATGTACATGGAAAACTTCCTTTCATTCTTTCCTTGCTTGTAAGGAAGCTTAATAACTTTAAAGTTATCATGGACGGCAAAAAGACGTGTTCTGTCATATTCCACAAATGGGACTTCGACAGATGTTCCATCCAGGCAGTAGAACTTTTGTTCAGTAGTCCTCCGCAAATCATCTCTATCCAGCCATCTGCCCCTAAAGTACAGTGCACTCCCAAGAACAAGTCCTGTATTCTGGTCGATTGTTCCAGCAGGCAGAAGTGTTGTAACAGTACCTTTTGTGGAATCTTTGACCCACGAATTAATTTGATCAGGAGCATCTTCCGGCTTCAAAGATCAATAGAACAGAAATTGGTTAAATTTCAGCATTGGGAAATGGGAAGCCCAAAACATGTTAACAATAAGATGCATCACAAGATCGCAGTTCACTCTTCACAAAGAAAAACAGCAATAAACAAATAATCAGGAAACGCACTTTCTTGGGTAGAATAACTGTAACAACTAAGCAGAATAATACTATTGCTTTCGAAACATAGCGCCAGTCATTGAGATTTCTTTGCCATTTCCAACAGAACCAAAACATTTTTAATAGAACAGATTGCAACGAGGCTGTTATAGTGAGATACAACAAGGTTCATCAAACCAATTAAACACACTTAAGGCAAAATACCTCAAGTCAACAAACAAATTGAGATATTTTGTGATACTAACCTTAGGCACAGGAATATTACCGAGCACATGATGGGCATAACATTATTACTCTACAGCATTAGCTGAAAGAGGGCATTCGATCAGATATACCTTGTTCTTGAAATCGGCCTTCTTCGCCGCAGAGCCGTACACATTGCCGGCGAGTCCCACGAACTCCGGCGAGAGACTCCTCGATGCGTCGGCCCAGACGCCGCCCGCGAACGCCAGCCGCGGGCCGCCGGAGGTGGACCGGTCCCTGAGGACGCGCTTCACGACGCGGGACGCCACGTTGGCCGCGTCGGCGGCGCCGCCCCTGCCGCCGCCGCCGCAGCCGAGCGCCTGGAGCACCTGCCTCCGCGTGGCGCCCCGCGCGCCGCCCGCGGCGAGCGCCAGGGAGACGTGGACGGCGGGGGCGGACACGGCCGCGTTCCCGGTCCCCGCGGCGGCGAGGACGCGCCCCGCGAGCGGCAGGCAGAAGGCGCGCTGCGCCGCGGCCAGCGCCTCCCCCCACGGCCGCGTCGGCATCGGCGGAGGTGGCATCGCCTCCGCCGGTGCTTCGGGCTTCGGCGCGGGGGCCGAGGAGAGCCGCCGGTGGTTGGCATCACCGGCGGGGAAGGGTGGACGGCGGAGGGCTCGCCGGAGGTAGGAGGAGACCTGCATTTTTTCTCTCTTTCTCCTCTTCGGTTGCCTAGGGTTTGGGAGGTTTTAGTTTGCGTCCGATGATTTGGGCCGAAAGTATATTTTGGGCCTGGAAGGTTAGCCAATTCGTGCGGGCCATAGTGGTGTGGGCCGGAATGGGAGATTGTGGCCCATACTTAGTTGGGGCCCACATGAAGCCCATTATTCGGTAGGCCGGATTGCAATTGAGGGGGCCATGGACGTTGTTGCTTGGGAAAAGTACACCGAAGGTCCCTCAACTTGTCATCGAGTTACAAAATCGTCCCCCAACCATAAAACCAGATATCGGAGGCCCCTCAACTAACAAAACCGTTCGCTTGAGGTCCTCTGGTGGTTTTGACCCCGGTTTTGTCTGACGTGGCGGGTGAGTCAGCGTGGGCCCCACCTAGGTCCCACGTGTTAGTATGCCAGCTCATCTCTCTCCCCCTCTTCTCTCCTTCCTCATCTCTCTCGCTTCTCTCCTCTCTGCAAGCCGGTCCGGCGACGACGACACGGTAGAAGGAGGCGGCAGCGGCTACGACTGCGACTCTTGAGAAGAGAGAGGCGGCCGGCGGCGAAGCGGGGTCGGCGACGGGCGAGCACGGGAAGAAGCTAGGCGGCGGCGGCGGCGTGGGAAGAAGCTGTCTTCGGCGTCCACCCAATAGAGCTTGCCGGCGTCCATGGACGATGGCGGCAACGGCATCCTCGCTCTCCCGGCTTAGGAACACCCAAGACATGGACGACGGAGGAGGAGGAGGAGGAGGCGCCATTCGAGCTCACTCAAATGACGCCGTACGAGTCCGGCCGCGATGTGCCACGACGGCGGCAACGAGGATGCGGACAGTGGCGTTGCTCCGCCGGTGCGACGCCGGCCGCTGGATCTACGGGATCGTCCATGGCCGCAAACACGGCGGAGGCGTGGGGAGGCCAGCGAGCTCCATCGCGTGGAAAGGGACGAGTCAGGGTTGCCGCGGTCGCCGGCGAGGAGCTCGAAGGCAGGGGCCCAGAGGTGGCGGTGGCTCGGCGGCTGCCGCCCTTGCCCATCTCCTCCCCCCGGCGGCAGACCGCCGCCGTTCCGCTCCACCGGGCGCCGCGCCCTCGCCCTCCGCTCCGCGCCTCCGCTTCGCCCCGTCTTCCACCACGCACTCGCCCACCGCCGCTCTACTCCGCCGGCCGCCGCGCGCTCGCACGCCACCTCCGCTGACCGCCGCTCAGCCCCGCTTGCCGCTGCCCGTCTATTTCGAGCGTGCTCGACGCCGGCACCGCGGCAACGGCGGCTGCGCCTCCGTGGGGCGGCAACCTGGACTCCAACACACTCGCCGACATCGAGAGGGAGATGGTCGGCGCCGCGGCCGACGAGGTCGGGCACGCGGTCGGGGACGTTGGTGGCGAGGACGCAGCAGTCGAGTGACGACCACTAGGGGGCCTACTGGCTGCCTCTCCCCATCTGCTGGCCGCTGTGCGCTCGCCCGCCTACCGCCACCGCCGCTCCGCCGGCCGCCACGCACTCGCCCGCCTCCGCTCCGCTTCGCCGGCTGCCCCTCACTCGCCCGCCGCCGCTCTGCTCCGCCGGCTGCCGCTCAGCCCCGCTCGCCGCCGCCTTGCTGCCCCCGCCGCCGACGACGTCTTTGCTCCCCCCCCCCCCCCCGCCGCCGCCTTGGGCAGAGCGAAGACGACGGGGCGAGCACGGCGGCCTCAGCCCAGAGCGAAGAGCGCGGGGGAGACCGGAGACCGCCGCCGCCGACTTGCTCCCTCCGCCGCGTGCCGCCGCATTGCTCCCCTGCTCCCGCCGTCGCTGCCGCATTGCTCAGTTGCTCCCCTGCCCAGAGAGCTCTAGAGAGAAGAGTAAGAGAGAGAGATGAGGAAGAGAGAGAAGAGGGGAAAGAGAGAGAGAGAGGACGCTGACGTGGACACGCTGACATGTGGGTCCCACGCTGACTCAGCCGCCACGTAGGCTAAAACCGGTGTTAAAACCGCCGAGGGACCTCAAGCGAACGGTTTTATTAGTTAAGGGACCTTCGATATCTGGTTTTGCGGTTGGGGGATGATTTTATATCTCAATGACAAGTTGAGGGACCTTGGGTGTACTTTTCCCTTGTTGCTTCACCCCGATGGTTATTATCATATTCATATATGTATTGGTTATTATATTATGGACTAATTAAATCTACTACTTTTGGTGTTACGTGCAAGACTGCAAGCCAATGCATATAGTAAATATATACAGTAGTAGACTAGTAGCGAGTTGTGTCTTGAGTACGATTGGTCTACGAGAAAGCGATATTTATTTTTTATTAGTTGTTAAAATGTTTCAACTCACTTTGTGTTTTTAGGCCCTGTTTAGTTCACACCAAACTTCCCCAAACTTCTAACTTTCCACGCATCACATCACATCAAAATTTTCCTACTCACATAAACTCCCAACTTTTTTTTCAAACTACCAACTTTTCCTAAACTTCTCCCCAATTTCAAGAACTAAACAGAGCCTTAGAGAGATATAAACATGTCCGCTAGACATTCTCACCTAGCTATTCTTTATATATATCAACCGTCCCCACTATGATTCCCGGAAATGACTACGCATCGGGCGTCTGATTGGGGTGGGAAAAATCGGGCACTCACGTTAACATGACATCAGCAAGCATGGATGCATGCGAAATTATTTTAAACTATTTTTTATCTTAAATATTTATCCAAATCATGATCCGATTGCACCATTAAATTCGTTGTAATTAAATCTTTAAAATAAGACCACACGTGGATATATTCCGATGAAAAAAATTAGCTTATTATTGGATTATTTTTAAATGTTGCACGCTGTTCCACCAAGTAGATTGTAATTGTTTCACTAAATAGATCAAAAATGTTTCAATCGTTTAAATCGGACGTTGTTTCACCTTATATAAAAACAATGTTTCAAGTCACTGCAACATTTGTTCTATACATAGTGAAACATTATAAGTGGGTGAAACATTTTTGCTGGAACAGAAAATGAAACGAATTCCCTTAATAGGGGATTTCCATAATACATAGGTGATTTGTTGCAAAAGATTGTTTCAATTCACTGCAACGTTACATCTATACATAGTGAAACATTGTGAGTACATAAGGTGAAACATTTTCGGTGTAAAAAAATAAAACAAATTCCCTTAATAGAGGGTTTACAAAATATGTAGGTGATTTGTTGCAACGGAGTATATGGTGGAGACACGTGGCAGGTGGGGACAACGATACGTGGTGGGGCCCAGGGGGCCGCGCGCGTCGTCCCCCCCCCCCCCCCCACCCACACACACACGGAGTATATTCCCGATTATTCCCACTTATTTTTCTCCCATCCTATTCTTCTGGATATGAAGACAATCGGCAACGAGCATCCATGTGAGCGCTAACGGGCATGATAGCTGAGATCGCCATTGCAGGGTGGCAAAGACGGTGAAGATGGATTGGCAGTGGGTTGAGTAGCTAGTAGACATCTCCTCCCCTAGATCCAGCTCGGATCATAGTGGCGAAGCCAGCATTAGCATTTGAACATGATTTATATATTTTGGGACTCTATTTTATCTTAAGAATTCTATCTCTAAAATCGTATCTTATCTCTATAATTTATATATTTAACTCCTCCAACCAACGTATCTGTATTTCTAACTATCTGAACTAAACATTGCACTGGTGGCTAGTTCGTCATGCGTGTGTGCGCCTACGACGGTGCGGCCAGTATGGGTTCATCAGAGAGCATCCGTCGGCCAATCTCGTAGGACATGTACACGTCAATACAGGTGTAGTTGACCTGCTCCCACGTCAGCGTCGGTTCACCCCATCTGCTCATCGTTATGTCTTTCGCCTTCTCCATGCGGGTGCCCATCACTATGAGCGCCAGGCTCTTCAGCCCCCACCCTCGCAAGCTCTGGCCGGCCGAGCACGGCCGCCGCAGCGTCTCTCAGATCCACCGCGCAGGCAACCCTCAGGTTGCACTCATTGGCTAGTCGCCGCACACCGCCGTCGACCCCAACGCCGACGAAACGGACACCTGCGTCGGCGAGGAACTCCGCGAGCTCGCGTGGAACCTCGTTGCTAGCTTGGTAGAGTTGGAAGACAAGGCACCGACGGTTGACACAGAGCTGGAGCACAACAACCTTGTAACATTTTTTGTCGTCGGGCTCATGGTCCTCGCGCCACTCTGTGTCGATACTGACTATGAGCACCCCCCCTCGTGTTGCTCACGGGCTATCTCGTTGATGAACTGGGTGGTGAGGTAATGCAACAACGTGATGGTGGTGCGGATCGCCATGGCATCGCCATCCATAAAGACGTCTAGCGTGTTCTCGGGAGGAGGATGAGGAGTTGGGGGAGTGTAATACCTGCCTGCCATTGGCGTAGAGGACAATTTTGGACTTACTAGACGAATTTGGAATTGCGCGGAGAAAAGAAGGCCCTGCTCTATCCTTTTAAAGCAGGCATACCGCAAGTAGAAACCGAACTGGACAAACCTGCCTTCTTGGAATTGTAGTCAGACTTCAGAATTTGGAGGAGCCTACAGTCTGAGGTGTTAGGCCCACCTCTCGGGGACAGCCAAGTTGTGCACTTGGGAGCCCACTCCGCCTGGGAATCCCGGCCCAATCCACGATGTTTTCCCTTAGGATTAAGTCCACTTTCCATTCCTCATATAAAGTAGAGTAGTGAAAGAAATCAGCTTTCTCGATCTGTTATTGGGCTATGTCATCTGAAAATACTGGACCGTCCGATATAGCCATTTGGTAAACTAGTTGGGTGCCCGTGCTTTGCACCGGGAAAAAATAACACCAACTTTACCTCAACTCACATGTACGTACAATATACGATGAAGGCTACAAACGTTCACCTACATACAAATAGCTACAAGTGATCATTGTACTATTACAGAATAGGATAGATTTTACTCCCTTCTAACAATGAAAAAACAAAAATATATAATTCAACACTCATAAGACATAGCCAATTTTAGTTTTTAGTTCTTACCGCTAGCCATATTTGAAATTGTTCTGACCAATAGGAGACTGAGATGATAAACAATGTCAGGCTCATTGTCCTCGCGCCACTCCATGTCGATACCGACTATGAGCCTCCCCCTCCCCCCCTCGTGATGCTCGCGGGCTATCTTGTTGACGAACTGGGCGGCGAGGTAATGCGACGACGTGACGGTGGCGCGGATCGCAACGGCGTCGCCATCCATGAAGACGTCGAGCGTGTTCTCGGGAGGAGGACGAGGAGTTGGGGGAGTGTAGTACCCGCCTGTCATTGGCGTAGAGGACGATTTTGGACTTACTTGACAAATTTGGAATTGCGCTGAGAAAAGAAGGCCCTGCTCTATCCTTTTAAAGCGGGCATACCGCAAGTAGAAACCGAACTGGACAAACCTAGCTTCTTGGAATCGTAGTCGGACTTCGAAATTCGGAGGAGCCTGTAGTTTGAGGTGTTAGGCCTACCTCTCGGGGACAGCCGAGTTGTGCACTTAGGAGCCCACTCCGCCTGGGAATCCCGGCCCAATCCGCGATGTTTTCCCCTAGGATTAAGTCCACTTTCCATCCCTCATATAAAATAGAGTATTGAAAAGAAATCAGCTTTCTCGATCTGTTATTGGGCCACGTCATCCGAAAATACTGGACCGTCCGATACAACCATTTGGTAAACTAGTTGGGTGCCCGTGCTTTGCAACGGGAAAAAATAACACCAACTTTACCTCAACTCACATGTATGTACAATATACGATGAAGGCTACAAACGTTCATCTACATACAAATAGCTACAAGCTAGTGATCATTGTACTATTGCAGAATAGGTTAGATTTTACTCCCATCTAACAATGAGAAAACAAAAAATATAATTCAATACTCATATGACATAGCCAATTTCAGTTTTTAGTTCTTACCGCTAGCCATATTTAAATTTGTTCTGACCAATAGGAAACTGAGATGATCAACAGTAGTTAGTTCTTACCGCTAGGCATAGCATAGTTAAATTTTTAGGACACTGTTTGCGCTGCCGAGGGCGGCCAACAGGCATGGGTTCGAGGCGTGCTTCCAGGCGTCTGCAGGCGGCGGCGGCAGCGGCAGCTTCCCGGCGATGGTGCTGGACTTCGACGGCGGCGCCGACCGACATGGCCTTGCCGACGGCGAACTACATCCTGGAGGTGGGCGCGCGACGCGACGGCGTGTCGTGCTGGGGCGTGCAGAGGTCGCCGGCGGCGGGAACGTCCATCATCGGCAACATCATATCATGCAGATGAACTAATTCCCATATACGGTACGACGTCGACAGGTCGATGCTGTCGTTCCTGCCGGCCAACTGCAGTATCGTCTGACCCTACAGGCCTACTATACATACGATACGACAAATTAATAGTGAACCATATACGACTGTAATATATAAAAATGGAAGTTGGGGATTTCAGACTTCCAAAGAGTAACGATCGACGATTTAGTACGCTTGTGTCTGTATGACATATGCATGCATGTAGGATGAACCAACATGTTATAGTTATTGGGATTGATAAATCCGATTATCTCTAAACAAAATGAATTTACTGCTCCTATCTATTTTTCCTATCTATCTATCATCTATTATATACTTAAAAAGTTCATTAAACTTTATATAATCGCTCTCAAAAAAATCACATAAGAGTCCTACAAACGCTCTCAAGCCGCTAACATGATACTCTAATGAACTATAGAAAATCCTAGAAATTCTCGGTAGTGCTATTCCGAGCACTAGAGTGCGGAATATTGTTCCGAGCACCGCACATGCATCGCGTCCAGACTCCCAGAGTCCGTAAAAACTAGTGTTCGGTTATCCACGTTCGATCTATGTACATTAGTTCTATTAGTTCTATTTCAATTCGGGGTAAATCAATTACAGATCCGTAAAATTGGTGGTCGGTTGGAAATAATCGTTGTAATTGGTTTATCTCTATTTCCAATCGAGGTAGTTACGATATGGTGTGCAACAAACTGAGACCAAATCTTGTAGTAATCCGATGTAAATGAAAATTGATGGTGCATGTGCATGTAGTAATTGGATTAACGACAACCATGCTTGGTGAAATCTTGTAGAAATCGAGTTACCGTCGACATAAATGAAAATTGATGGAGCATGTGCTTGTAATAGTTGGATTATGAACAACATTGGTTGATCAAATCTTGTAGTATTCGTATTACTGTCGATGTAAATGAAAATTGATGGTGCATTAACTTGTAGTAACTGCATTATTACCAGCCTTGGTTGATGATTTCTTATAGTGAGTGCATCAAGCAAGAAAAAAAAGGAAAAATAAATAAGGAGGGAGTTACTGGGGCCTAATTAGTTTACCCAAAATAATACGTGAATAATATTTTTACTTATACATTGAATCACTCCATCCTAAATCACGGGACAAAAAATAAAGATTTTACATGCACATCATAGTAAAAGCACAAGAATAAAAATTTTACACACAAACACATCAATACACGCCATCGCCAGTTCCTCGTGATGGCTGAATGGAGCTTCTGTTCTGCTAGAGAGAGCAAGAAGATAAAGCGGCGGAGATGCATGTTGGAGCCGAGGTAGCACCAAGTCTGGCCGCTGCGACCTCGGTAGGACCCGAATCCGGCGACGGAGCCAAAGATGGAGGTCGCCGTTGCTGTTTTCATCGCCTCACTGTCATAAACTAGGCAACGACAGAGGTGATGAAACAAATCACAGTTTCTTGCCGATGTTACCAAATCGATTGACCATCACAAACAGGATCACCGCCATGCAAGGGAGAATAGAGCACGCCAAGATGAGTGCTCAACCCAATCGAAGTCAGACTACATAGAATTAAGAAGGATAAAGAATTTAATTAATCATAGATTGTATACAATTCTTGCAAGAAATCAAGAATATCATTAGGAATTGCTGAGAGAACTCACCGTCCCCACGACGTCCATCTCGTTTGCCATAGGCCAGACGTCTCTTCAGCATCGATCTGAAGCAGATGCTGCGGCAGCGAGGCCTGAAGCAGTGCCTTCGTCTCAAGCGCTGCCGGCCACCGCTCGCCGGCCACCGCCATCAACCGCCACGGTGTCGTCGTCCTCCTCCATGGTGCGTCGCCGATCTATGGGCTGGGATGGTGGATCGATTTAGATCCGGAAAAAAAAGGAAAAAATGAAGTGGTGGCGAGAGTGGTTGGTTGGGTACGGAAAAAATATAATATATACCAGAAGTAGTAGAGAAGTTGTTTTTATGATTTACTCCGATAATGGTGGGAGCATGATGCGGGACGTGGGGTAGGATCGAAAGGGAAGTTGTTTTTATTGTCGAAGAAAATCGTTTACTCCGATAACGGTAACAGTGGGATAACAGGACGTGGGGTGGGATCGTAACCAGAAAAGTTGTTTTTATCGAAATAAATCGTTTATTCCGATAACGGTGGGAGCGGTTCCAGCCAGTACGTGCATGGCTCGATGGGTGCATGCAAAATCAGCCCATTTCCTAATTTTGTGATTTTCATTTCTTTCCATATGCTCTGATTCTTCCAATTGGTGGAGATTATACTCAATATAATTCCTTCCTTGTCATGCCATGGTAATATTTTCTTTACAATCCTCTGTGACGCGGAGAGATGATTTCCTTGTATACGTACATGTCAGCGAATTCTCCGATGGAGCAGATCTTGCCTCCTAAATTCCTTTGTTTCCTATGCAAGCACGCCAAGAAATCAGCTGCTGCCAAACAACGTGATTATTGCCCTCTAATGACAATGCTACAGTGGCATGCTTTCCAACAAATAATTGATCGTTGATTTTTTTCTTTCATTAGTGATATCACTTAGAGCTATACTGCCATTATTCAACGATATGTTCTATATATATACATATTATTCTATCTTGGCTGTTACACCATTTTTAAAAAAAATGTATGTGTCAGTATATACACGTCTGTACACTAGGCAATAGAGCAGATGTTGGCGCGTGTCACGTAATATTCATATATATACGCTCAGGTACGCCAGGTTGTACCATTAGTGAAAATTAATCACTAATTTTATTATTAGACTGTCATTTCCGGAATTAATATTTTTTACGCACCCCATTTCTTATAAAATAAAAAAGGGGTATACAAAATATCATCGAACAAAATTCTTTCCCAGTTTGCGCACGAGGACATGCATGGAAGAGTATATAGAGCGCATATAGTGCGCCTCATGTTCAATTACTGCTAATAAGATAGAGCGCATATAGTGCGCCTCATGTTCTAGTACTGTATATAGTAGAGATACATGCACAGCAAAAGGACATAAAGGAGATAGAACATTAGGACCCAGAAAAAAAAACTTTAGCACCTCGACGACAACAGCTAGAATGGCGGTCTCATCGGGGGACAATCCTCCGTCGCAGCGGCCATTCTAGCTGTTGTCATCGAGGCGCTAAAGTTTTTTTTTTCTGTTCCTAAAAAAACTTTAGCGCATCGACGACAACAGCTAGAATGGCAGCCTCATCGGGGGACAATCCTCCGTCGCCGCGGCCATTCTAGCTGTTGTCGTCAAGGCGCTATCCAGAAAAAAACTTTAGCGCCTCGACGACAACAGCTAGAATGGCGGCCTCATCGGGGGACAATCCTTCGTCGCCGCGACCATTCTAGCTGTTGTCGTCAAGGCGCTAAAGTTTTTTTCTAGGACGACCCAGAAAAAAACTTTAGCGTCTCGACAACAACAGCTAGAATGGCGGCCTCATCGGGGGACAATCCTCCGTCGCCGCGGCCATTCTAGCTGTTGTCATCGAACAAAGTTCTTTGCCAGTTTGTGCACGAGGACATGCATGGAAGAGTATGTCCAGTGGAGATACAACGGTAAAGTTCAATTACTGCTATGTTCCAGTACTATATGTAGTAGAGATACAGGCACAACAAAAAGATATAAAGATATAAAGAAGAAAAGCACTAGGACCCAGAAAAAAAACTTTAGCGCTAAAGTTTTTTTCTAGGTCCTAGTGTTCTTTCTCCTTTATGTCTTTTTGCTGTGCGTGTATCTCTACTACATACAGTAGTAGAACATGAGGCGCTCTATGTTAGCTCTATCATATTAGCAGTAAATTAATATATTACTCCCTCTGTTTCAAAATGTTTAACACCGTTGACTTTTTAGTACGTGTTTGACTATTCGTCTTATTCAAAAAAATTTAAGTAATTATTTATTTTTTTCATATCATTTGATTCATTTTTAAATATACTTTCATGCACACATATAGTTTTACATATTTCACAAAATTTTTAATAAGACGAACTGTCAAACATGTGCTAAAAAGTCAACGGTGTCAAACATTTTGAAACGGAGGGAGTATTATTATTACTATGCAGTATCAGCTGAAAGAGGGCATTCGATCAGATATAAATACCTTGTTCTTGAAATCGGCCTTCTCCGCCTCAGAGCCGTACATATAGCCGGCGAGTCCCATGAACTCCGGCGAAAGACTCCTCGATGCGTCGGCCCAGAAGCCGCTCGCAAACTCCAGCCGCGGGCCACCGGAGTTGGACCGGTTCTTGAGGACGTGCTTCACGAAGCGGGACGCCACGCTGGCCGCGTCGCCGCCGCCGCCGCCGCCAGCTGCCTCCGCGTGGCGCCCCGCGCGCCCGCGGCGGCGAGCGCCAGGGAGACGTGGACGGCGGGGGCGGACACGGCAGCGTTCGCGGTCCCCGCGAGTGGAAGGCAGAAGGCGCGCCGCGCCGCGGCCAGCGCCTCCCCCAACGGCCGCGGAGGTGGCATCGCCTCCTCCGCTGCGCGGGGGCCGAGGAGAGCCGCCAGTGGGCGGGGAAGCGTGGACGGCGGAGGGCTCGCCGGAGGTAGGAGGAGGAGACCTGCAATTTTTTTTTCGGCCTTATTTTCACCTCTTCGGTTGCCTAGGGTTCGGTAGATTACATGGCTTTTATAGCCCAGCAAACAAACTTGAGCCGCATGAACGTGTTCCTGGTGATTGCAGTTGCAACGGTTGAAGGAATAAGTCTGCGTTTGTTGGCCGATGCGAATGAAGCGGTGATCGAGTCAGAAGAAGACCGCGTCGGTAGCGTTCGTGTGCGTGAGTTTAGCGCGGTTGCGTGAGTCGTCGAATTCAGAGAAAACCGGATCGTGGGATGGCACGATTTGAGCCTCGGATTCTTTCTTTTGTGTGGAGTATAAGTAGGAGTTTTTGTACTGTTATTCGAGATGTATGCCACTCTGTTCGGTGAATGAAAACCACAGAAAATTAGCCCCACAAATTTCCTTTCTGATATTGTTCTCTGAAACTTCTCAATTTCCTCTGTTCTTGTTCTGCTCTGCATTGCTCTGGATCTCGTCTGTTGCCGTGCCGGATTGCTGCAGTACGCACGCAAGGTGTTCGATCGGTGGATTATCGCTAACAGCCACTAGCACGAAGCTAACTGCCACACAACTCATGCAACATATGCATATATTGACTAGCTCTAACTAATCAGCTATCTAAGCTATATGCATGCACAGTTTGATAGACTCAACGAGAAGTCCCGCACAGCTTGAAGATCTTGTGCAGCTGCTCGATCTGCGTCGATCAGCAATGGCGAATCAGATCGATGCCGATCCATTTCATCCATGCATAGACGATATATAGATGGAGAGTTGAGGTTATAATATTTATTTATTTATTTACCTCAGTTTGGCCGGGCAAGATGGGCTTGCCGGCGAGAAGCTTGGCGAGGATGCAGCCGGTGCTCCAGAGGTCGACGGCGATTGCGTCGGACGGCAGCGGCGAGTGGTGGACTCGCCCTCGGTTGGCTTCGACGTGCGGGGCGAAGGCTTGCCGCCGCCGTCGGCGTCGGAGGTAGAGGACGTGGACGGGGCTCCGGAAGCTTCGCCGCCTTCGGAAGGAGGAAGCGGCGGCGGGGACTCGTCGCCGGCGATCTCCGCCAGGACCGCCATCCTTTCTCTGGTGAACGGCGTTTTGAGGGATCGGTGACGAAGCAGCGGAGGAGCGGTGCGTGCTGCCGGGAGGTTGCGACGGTGGCGGCGGGGACTGGGACGACGATGACAACGGCGGTGGCGACGGCTGTGAGGCGGCGCCGCAGCGCGAGGGGAACCGCCCGAAGACAGCGCGATGAGGAAGAAGAGGGAGACATGGGAGAGGGAATGACATGTGGGGCCCACGTGGGCCCACCATATTTATTTTTTAGCTAACATGTGGGCCCATGCGGGCCTCACCATTCTTGAATTACTTTTTTGTGTGTAGCTGACATATGGGCCCATGGTTTTTAATAATTTTCCAAGATATAGTTGCCACGTAAGCGCCACGTGCGACACAGATCTAGTCAAAACAACCACGTAAGTGCATGTCAGCCAAAACCGCCTTACAAACCGCTGAGAGACCTCGTTTGCAACAATTTTAATGGTAGTATCTGGTTTTAGGGTTTAAGGACGAAAATAGGATTCGGTGTAAAATTAAGGGACCTCAGATGAACTTATTCCTTTAGTTTGCATCTGATGAGGAATAAGTTCACTTTGGGTCCCTCTATTTGTCGCGCAGTCCGATTTTCGTCCCTTGACCGCAAAATCGGGTTCGACCCGTCCCCCAACTTACGAAAACCGGGCAAACAAGGTCCCTTGGCAGTTTTGAAGGCGGTTTTGGCTAACGTGGCGCCTACGTGGCTTGATTTACTAAGTCTCCGTCCCACGTGGCATTGACGTGGCGCTTACGTGGCAATTACATCTCAAAAAAATAACAAAAAAAGTGGGCTCACCTATCAGATACACACAAAAGAATAATTTAAAAACGATTTTTTCTCGCTCGAAAGATTTTTTCTTATCCCTTACTCGATTTTCTCACTTAAATTTACAGTGTATTTTCTTGTAAGTTACAGTGTAATTTTTAAAACTTACATTGTAACTTTTGTAAGTTACAGTGTAATTTTTGAATCTTCGCATGTAAGTTTTGAAATTTATATTGGATTTGGTTTTTTTCTTGAAGATTTGGTAATTAGTGTCGATTATGGTGTTTCATAGTTGTTTTGTGCCTTTTCTTGTATCTATTGGGTTTTAATCAAAAGATTAAAAATATATATGATATGATCATAAAAATCTTTCGAAAGATGCATAGGTACTCCCATTTAAAAATAGCGGGGCCCATGTGGGCCCACATGTCAGTCTAACTCTCCCCTCCTCTGCTTCCTCTCTCCCCTTCTCCCCTCTTCATCTTTCTTGTGAGGGGGGATGCGGCCGGCGACGACGACGGCGGCGGAAATGGAGAAGAGTGGCTGCCAGCCATCTCTCTCTTGCGCGCACTCGCCGGTAGGCCAGGGAGCTCGCCTAGCCGTCCGTCGCCCTTCTCCCCGATGGCTAGTAGCGAGAGAAGAGGGAGCAGCGTGCGGCGACGTCGGTGGTGGAAGAGGAGGGAGCGGCACGCGGCAGCGTCAACGGCGGGAGACGAGGAAGCGGCGTGCGGCGGTGTCGGCGGCTAGAGAGGAGGGAGCGGCAGGCGGCGCGCGGCGGCGTCAGCGGCGAGAGAGGAGGGAGCGGCGCACGCGCGCTCGCCGGTAGGCCAGGGAGCTCGCCTAGCCATCCGCCGCCCTTCTCCCTCCTCCATGTCGCCGCCGCTGCTCGCCCATTCCCGAGCACCGCCGCCGTGCTGCGGCGCCCAAGCCGCCAGTTGCCGCCAGGCCATCATCGCGCCGCATTGCGCCACCACTGCCGAACCCAGGGGCACATCGTGGCGCCCCACAACCGCGCCGCCGCCACCTTTTTCCACGGCCACGTACCGCTGCTAGCCACCGCAGCCTGCCGCTTCTCCACCGATGCCCACTGTCTTCACCATCGCCGCACACTGCCGCGCAACATTTCTAACCGCATGTCGACGTGAGCCGCCGCCGACCATCAAGCCGCCAACGACGACCAATCCGGCGAGGACACTTACACACGTCGCCGTCTCTCACCATCCCGAGCCAATGCCGAGCCGTGCCGTCATCGACTTCCTCTCCGCAACCGCCTTCGACACCTATAAAAACCAGCGAGCTCCTCCATTTTTTCCCATCCAAATCTGAGCTCCATTTTTGCTCTCTCTCTCTCTCTCTCCAATCCTCCCCCACTGGCCGCCATTCACTTTGCTCCTCCGCCGGCTGCTGTTCTTGGCTCCTCCACCGTCGGCCGCCCTAGCGCCGCCTTTGGCTGCCGCCGCCGTCAGGCACCATGCCCCGAAGCCGCGGTCTCCCCCCTCCCCCCGTGCCCTCTCTCCCTCGGATTGAGATCCTCCGACTTCACTGTGAAGTCAGAGAAGCACTGGATCCCCATCGGATTTAGGGATTCGGCTCCTCTGATTTTGCAAGCGAACGGTAGCGGAACACAGTAAATGAGCCTAATGCTACAGTGTGGAAAACTGCAAAACACTGTTTCGCACTGTAGCACCATACTCATTTTACTGTGCTCGCCTACCGTTCACTTGCATAGTCAGAGGAGCCGGATCCCCCTCCCTCTCCTCCGTGCCGACGCAAAGAGGAAGAAGACGAGGAGAAGAAAAAGAGGAAGAGGACACTGACCTGTGGGCCCCACCTAAACAGTACTTTTCTCTTTTATTTGATTTTAATTCAATTCCAATCTTCGAGCACCCATATCTCCTAAACCGCTGATCCAAATCCAGAAAATCTTTGACCTAAATTCATCTAATTTCAAACTCTTTCTTTTGATACCAAACTTCCTATTTTAAAATTTTATTTAAATTTCTTTTTTTATTTATTTATTTTATATTCTGAATTTAAAATTATTTAAATAACCTTTTTAAATTATTTTATTATATTCAAATAAATTTTTTAATTTACATGATTTATCTTAAATACCCTTAAATTTAAATTGTTTTAGTTCATTTAAAAACCCTTTCTAAATTTCCTTAAATACCTTTTCTTTACTCATTTAAATATTTTTACTTTAAAATACCATTTTAAATTTAATTTTTATTTAATTCAAATAATTTCTACCTCTAAATTTAAAATCTCTTTGATTTATTAAAAAAATCTTTCTCAATTCAAATTTCTTGGATTTATTCAAACACCCTTTTTATTTCTAAAACTTTCAACTACTCCTTTACCATCCCTTAGCCACCAAATAGCCGCCGTGGGAATTTTACGTCTTCCATGGGGACGGTCGTAGCTTACGCTTTGACGTCGAACCAAAGATCGTGAAACCCGGCACTACCTAATCCCAAGGTCGAAGTGTTGCTCTTCGCACCCCACGCCTTGACGCGTACAGTGGTCGGAGCCTCACTATTCCCTCGACCTCCATAGCACGCCACACACTAGCTTTCGGGCTCTGTGCGATCCTAGCAGCTCTGCTGCCATTCACAGCTGTGGAGTAACACTATTCCGCCCTGCAAACCCGCACAAACCTGTCAGCTCTCTAGTCGTTGTGCTGCTTGACTGTAGCATAGATTAGACGAGCCGATATATAGCCTTATGCTATCCAACCATAGCATCGGATAACCGCTTCAAATATCTAGCCGTCGTGCTACCCAACTCTAGCACCAACTAGAAAACCAATCCACCAAATAAACCCCACCTATCCAAATTACCCTTTCTTCGATTTTACTTGAATTCCAACCAATCCACTTTCCCCCTCATTAGCAGGTTATACATGGCTCCTTGGAGAGTCCAGTACCAAAGGCGACTCACTTTTCATAAGGAACGTATTGATTTTCGCCATCCTTTAAACCTGAGCAATGCTAATCTGACCCACAATGATATTTCAGGTTAATTACAAAAGAACTGATCTAGGTACATAAATAGACATGGAACAGTATCTCTCCTTAACCCTGTACAGTATATATGGACAAAATAATAATTAGGTTTGATACACTTTGTATCTATTTTATTTATTAAGTTGGTTGAAGATGTCTTCTATTGATGCACTTCTCATTCATTGCAATATAAATATATATTCATTAATATTCATTGAATGAAAGATATGGTTTTGATTTCTCTTCGAATTAAATATTTAGTTTTGATTTCTTATTTAATGAGTTTGCAGGCCCCTTCTGATTCATCTATATAAAGAGGATATGTAGGAACACGTGTATCAAAAGGCACACAGAACACAATATCTTTTCCACTCCCCAATTCCACCATGGAGAAAGTTTTTTCTGGATATGCACTGTTCTTTGTGTTGTTTCTTACTGGTTCAACAATAGGAGGATGCTTCCCTACTGTTGAGGAAGTACATCTACAACTTTATACTGTCTTTAATTATGATTCAAATTTGATTGAGTTTAATGTAAAATGTACTAGTAGTGGCAGCCATAGTTGATATTGTTCATTCTGCTTTTCCTGAACACAATTAACAAGGTTCAAAAGAATTGGAGAGCATTGATGGCCCCCATACTTCATGCAAACTTATCTAAATCGAGTCATGAATCAAATCAATCTAGCGCAAAATATGTGAGTGCCCAACCCAATGGTTTTTTTTTTGTCTTCTAATTCTGAAAGATGCATCTGCAGACATGATTACGATTTTCATGACCAAATACGTTGGCAGCTTGCAGTACATGGATGGATTCCTCCAGACGACGGTGCTACTGAGTATTATGGATTAGAGGCCACTATGGATGTTTATGGCTTTAATCTAGAGCACGGGCAACAGACCGGAGGTTTCATATGGATTTATAATTCAGATGAAACACCAGCTGCAAATGTAATTCATGCTGGATGGAATGTAAGTTGAACTTTATCTCCATGTTTTTGAATTACCTTTTCTTCTTTACTTCTCTAATACTGACATAAACAAGTTTAAACATACAGTCAAAATCCTTGTGAAGTAGAGCTAATAATGAAATTAATCAATTACTTCATTTCATCTAGTTTTTATGTTTAATTTTGTTGTACCTTATATAGGTCGATCCTGAATCATACAACGATTCACAGACGCACTTCACTACAAGTTGGTTTGTAAGTTTCTTCATAAACAATACAGTTCTTTATTCGACATATTATTTTTTTCTTTAAGTTAGTTCCCATGAGAGAGACAGGGAGTGCCATATCCTAGAAAGAATTTCCAATGGTTAGATGGAGACTGAACTATCATATGGATTTTACATTTATCATGTCATGACTACTCCAATGCTAGGTTGAAGAATCCAAGAAAGGTTGTTTAGATATGCGCTGTCCTGGATTCCAAAGGACAGGTGGCTCGCACCCATTCGTTCCTGGACAGGTGATTAACCCTGTTTCCAGCAACTCTAGCAGGAAACAATACATTACTGTCAGAGTATCCAAGGTACCATTCATTATTTTGTCCAACAATGGGGAAATCATTCACTCAAATTATTACAATATCTGCGTGTATATATCTGACATAACAATACAATTACACATGATTCTAGGATCAAAACTCTGGTGACTGGGAAATCTACTTTGGTTTTGATGGGAAGGCCAAGGTTATAGGATACTATCCGAGATCTCTCTTTACATCCTTGTCAAATAAGCCAGTGAACATTGTGTTTGGGGGCTTTGCCTTATGGAAAGAACATAAACCGAGTCCTCCGATGGGCAGTGGGATTGCTCCACCCAAAAATGCTGCATCATTTAGTAATCTCAAATTCTTTGATGCAGCTGGCAACGCCCATCCAATTGACCATGATCTAGCACACGTATCAGATTGTTACCCTGTCACTGATGTTAGAGATGGCATGTTCTCTTATGGGGGACCTGGCAATGTTTGCTAGTTTGTAATTGAGCTTCAATTAATCTATTGTAATTGAGCTTGGATGAAGTTAAGCTTGACTCTACTGATGTGTCACTCTAGTTGATCGGTATTGATCATAGACCTACTTTTTAATTGGAAGCAAATAAGGAAAAATGTCTTCCACACCACCAGTAGTTCAATAAAAAATACCACCTTCAATTGTTGCGATAAATCTAGCTTAAGTACTATCTCCATCACTTCTATAGCTGTTCTCTTTGAGGCCAATTCCTGTCTGACCTCCTCCAAGAACATGTCCAGCCAAACGTGCTTTATGTACTTGCACTAAAAGGACAGATGGCCACCATCCTCATCCATTATTCTGCGTATAAAACACTGAGTATCAACGTTTAATTCCCCTTCTCTTCAGATTGCAACACAAAGCTAGCGAGTTGTGAGCCAACCTACAAACAAAATGTTTAATTCTGTTTGGACACTACATCTTCCAAATCCTCTCCCATGCTTCTTCAGAAGACAATGCATATGCTTGTTGAGGCTGCCACTCTATGACTTGTGCGCATGGCTCTCATCACACAACACTCTATAGGCCGATCTCACCAAGAATGAGCCTCTTTTCCTTGTAATGCCATGTAGGGCTGACAAAAAAAAATCTCGAGGTTTGCAAGCTGTTCGAATTCGGCTTGTCGTAGGCTCAGCTCGAGCCCGATTCGAACTTTCAACGACAAAAAGCCAAGCTCGAGCCTGCACTGAGTGTCCACAAACTTTCGGTGCTATGTGGCAAATTGTGTAAGGCAGAGAAAACTTCAGCACACAAACAGGTACAAATACGGGGATAACGGATCAACTTGTCTGAATCCTCGCTCAGGGGTTTTTAGTTATTCTTGTTTGAAGGGGTCTGGAAAGACTAAAAAACTTGTTCTCTATGATTCGTTAGCTAATTAAGGCCGATCGATCAGTGAAACCCGAGGCCTGAGCTTGGAATTCGGAAGTGGAATGGCACTCCGGATCATGTGATTACAGTATTTTGCCACTAATAACTTCATCATGTTTCTGAAGAAACACTATTTACTTTTGGTCAAAAGAATAATGCTCCCTCCATCCTTCAACAATATTTACCTCTCATCGTATTTCCTTAATTCTATTTTCTAACAACTGCGAATGGCAAACTGGTAAAAAAAATTAACTTAATTATTGCCCTGTTCTACATGCTATCTATGGTGAAAACCGTAATTTTGATATTTTAACCCTTTTAACAAACTTATTCTATAAGTGAACCTTTAAAAAACTATAAATAAAAATAGACCTTCACCTCAGCGCCGTGGGCTTTGGCGTTGAGGCCCAACATCATAACGTCGGGCCCATTGGCGCTGGGCCCATTGGCGCTGAGGCAATGATGAAAAATGTAATGGACCTAGAAGCATGTGATGTGTTGTAGTGGTGAATGGTGTTTCGATGGATCCTAGCGATCAGGGTTCAAACCCCAGTCAAATATATTTCTTTTTTTTTCTTCCGTGCGAAAAAAGCCGCAACGCTGATAGTGATAAAAAAAGAATATATTTCTTTAAGAAAGTGTAAAGGGGATTTGAACCCACCACCTTTGATTGTAAGCAAGTAACTCACCACTAGGCTACTCAATTCAATTCACTAAGATACGGATCATTGTGTTATTACTGTATATAACTCAACGCCAAACTGTATGGCACTAAGCATATAATCTTAACGCCAAAGCCCATGGCGCTGAGGTAGAAGTCTACTTTTGGTTATAGTTTTTTTTGTCAAGGATTATTTATAAAATATGTTTCGTGAAAGTATCAAAATTTCGGGAAAATGTCTATTATTCAAAAAACGGAAAGAATATACATAAGTAACTCTTTAATAGGATTCGACGGGTTCAAGGTGCTCAAGCTCAACTATACAAGCGGAAGTGTGGCGGCTATATATATCGGTTATCTCCATCTGCTACAGCGACCAAACGCAGTATGCCATGGTCATCTTCCTCCCGGACGCGCGCGATGGGCTGCGCGGCCTCGTGGAGAAGATCGCGTCGCGGCCGGGGTTCCAGCACGAGCACCAGCTGCCGGCGAGAGAGGTGCCCGTTGACGGGTTCCGGGCAGGGCTTAAAATTTCGGTTCAAAATTTCTAAAATTTTATTAATTTTGCCCCCAACCAGCATACTCAAATCTCACCCGAAATTTTGTTTTTTTAATTTTTATGAATTTGGTCAAAATTTTATTTAAATTCAGTCAATTTTTTAAATAATTTCGGCCAGAAATTTCTGAAATTACCAAAAGGTCCCCGGCATAAAATCCAATTTTGAAATTAAAAACCGTGACTAATTAAGTCCAAGGTGTGCTGCGCCGGCAACGTCGGCGGCGTCCTCGAGCAGGTGGGGCTCCGGCTGCCGTTCTCACCGGTGCTAGCTTCCCGGCCGACCTGTCCGGCATGGTGGAGGAAGGTCGACGACGGCCACCACCATGTTTTGGTATGGTCGCCGCGCCGGCTGCGCAGGAAGACAACCGCGCCACCTCCGACGGCGGTGGACTTCGTCGCCGATCATCCGTTTGCATACGTCATATATAGTGGAGGAGACGTCACTTGCAGCGGTGTACGCTGGATGGATCGTTGATCCTTCATCGCAGTGAAACAAGTTCCAAATTACATCAACGGGATTGCTATAACTACATGGGAAAGTCATTTCATCCCTCTTATGCGTGATATCTAAATAGTCATAAAAAATTTTAAAAAATTGATAATATAGATTAATATAAAATATATCACTCCATAAACATACAAGTTAAAATTTAACTTATACTAGTTGTAATAAAAAAAACAAATATAGCTGCGAAGTACAATAACTATTTTCAATTTATTTTATTCTTTTTGTTGCAACTTATAGATGTTGAATTTGGTCTTGCATATTTGTGGAGTGATATATTTCATATTAATCTATATTGTCAATTTTTTTATAACTATTTAGATGACATGCAAATAACGAGGGGACATATCCTCGAGAGATGAAAATCCAAATCCTAACTATATATATGGTGTCCTACTTTTCTCGCTTCATTTCAGTGGTTTTTTTTTTAAGAACCATTTCAGTGGTTAAACTTGCGTAAAACTACCGTCTATACAATGGTTAAACAACGTAATTTCTTCACTGAAGTAGAGACATCGATTTCTTTCCTAAAACAGTTATTATTGATTTCACTGAAACAGTTATTATTTTACCTAGATAAGTAATTATTCAATTTTTTTTTACCAGACATCAATTTTTTATTGATTTTTCTCGTCAATACGAAAATAATTATTTTACCGAGACGAGTAACTATTTTACTCACCATTCAATATGGCCATGTGGGCACCAAAATAGTAGATGAGTCAATAATTTTTTTTTCACTCTAGACAGGAGTGGTGGGAAGTAAACAGGGGATGCGGGAGGGGAGAGAAGCTGAAAATAAGGAGAGAAAAAAGGAAATCAGGAGAGGAAGCGCTCAGAGACACGCTACTACCTTCGTATAATATAATTATTATGTGATATTTTATTGTAAAATTTTCATTGGAATGAATACAACAGTATAGTTGGATCACAAATAAGATTTGACATAGGTGCTCGTATTTAATACTAATTATTATTTCAGTGAGAGACGACAATGCTATATACCAGTCGGCAGTGAGGCGTCCGTGGTGACTTTATCAATCTCAAGAGGGCTAATTATTCATTCAGTGATAGGCGGCGTACCCGTCGACAATGAGACGTATGTGGTAACTTCATCAATATTAAGGTATGCTGACGCAGTCTTTCGGATGTGAGATATGTCCACGCAGTTTTTTAGAGGTGCTTATAGGTGTAGTGTGGGCCCATCAACAACGAGATGTTCATGGTGACTTTGTCTATCTCAAGATATGCATGGCGTAATTTAAAAGAAAGTTTTATAAAAAGACAAAAAAAAGATATGCATGAGGTATCTGTGGTGACTTTATCAATTTCAAGATATATTGGCCCGGTATTCCGAATGTAAGATATGACAGCCCAATCTTCCATATGTGCTTATTGGGGTAGTGTAGACCCATCAACAGCAAAGTCGTTTATGGTGATTTCGTCAATTTCAAGATATGCATGACGTAATTTAAAAGAAAATTTTATAATATGACAAAAAAAGATATACATGACGTAGCAAAAATAGATATTTAGCTTATTATCGTACTCTTGTTGTTAATTAGTGCCACTTCTCTTGTATGGCTACTGATCAAGCGGACCATTTTGTGTGTACCCGATAAATCATGTATGGCTACGGAGGATGCATGCATGATTTAGATTTTTCCAGAGCAATTACGATGATCAAAGTTAGCTTCTACTCTCTCCGTATTTTAATGTATGACGCCGTTGATTTTTTAACAAATGTTTGACCATTCGTTTTATTCAAAAAATTTATGTAATTATAATTTATTTTATTGTGACTTGATTTATCATCAAATGTTCTTTAAGTATGACATAAGTATTTTTATATTTGCATAAAAATTTTGAATAAGACGAGTGCTCAAACGTTAGTTAAAAAGTCAATAGCGTCATAAATTAAAATACGGATGGAGTATTTACTATAGGACTTCTAAAACGATATTGTACTGTGATCGAGGGAGTACTAATTAACATTGGCTCCGGTACTCATGTACCACAAAACTAAGTGTAAACTTAACTAACACATCGAGAAGTAAATATCTCATCAAATTATTGAGCATATGAAAATCTTTTAATTATTGATACATAAATTTGTCATTTTTTTCTCAATTTACACAGTTTATGAACACGACTTCCGGTAGATCAAATGATGATAACATATCAGCCACTTGCACTGTACTTTTAGAAAGAAAAAAATGTGTAGAATTTAAAGACAATGGATATATAGAAATCCAGTCTCTCAAATGGATATACACAGCCACGTAGAACAATATCTTCACTCATCAGGGGATTGAATTAAATCCATCGCCATAATCACGAAGATACAATCAAATCGCTAATTTTGGGATAATCTGATATATATTGCCCATATTTACATATATATATATGTTCCTCCAAAATGATCTATATATATAGTGACATTCTCTACACTAGTTCTTCACACAAAAGAGAGTGAAGCAAACGCATCAAATCACTAGCTCACCACCATGACGACCAAGGCCACCACCCTTCTCCTCCTCCTCGCCGCCGCCGCCGCCGCGGCGCTCCTCTGCCACGTCCACGTCGCCGTCGCCGTCGCCGCCGCCGACCCGGAGCCGTGCGACCCGTCGGATATCACCATCGCGACGGTGAAGACCGGGCGGGTCGTCGGCGGCCTGCCGGAGTTCCAGGTGACGATCGGCAACGAGTGCTCGTGCCCGGAGGGGGACGTCGTGCTGTCCTGCCTCGACGGCGTGCCCGCCGGCATCGACCGGAGCAAGATCCACGCCGCCGGCAGCGACGGGCTCTGCCTCGTCAACGACGGCCTGCAGATCGTGAAGGGGTCGCCGGTGGTGTTCACGTACGCCGCCAGCGCGCCCATCAGCCTCGCCTTCAACGCCGCCTCGCCGCGGTGCCAACCTTGAGTTTGGCTGTAGGCCTACCATTGTTTGCACCATCTTCCATCTAAACGTTCTTCTTTTTATATATCTGGATGCGTGCTGATCATTGTTAATTCTCTCTGGTCACAAATACTTGCATCGGACACATGAAAGCAGTAAGTTTTACTTAAGATCACATCCTACATATTCGTAGTATTGGGATATTTTTTATCCAACTAAAACTCCAAAACATTTTTGCATACTATGATGCGTCGATTAAGGTCGGCCCAACAATTTGTTGGGCCAAAGCAGGCTGGTGCTGCTGTGACCCAAGCTAAACTAATGGACGAAGCTAAAATTGTGATCATGGAGCGTCCAAATTTAGTGCTTGTTGGTCGCCAAAAGAAAAAAAACAGACATCAGTACAGTTTCTATCTCTTCCCATCGCCAACAAAAGTAGTGTTCGAATCTTCTAAAGATGAAGACGAAGATTAAGTGTTTCACGTAAAATGAGATTGTAATAACGTGTGATTTATTAAGTTTTAATTATTACAAATTTAAAAAATAGATTAATCTGATATTTTAGAACAACTTTCATATAGAAAGTTTTCTCACGAAACGCACCGTTTAGCGATTTGAAAAGCGTGTCACTTTAATCAAAAATTAATCCACCCTTCTAATTAGATTCGAACGGGGCAAGTTGCACGCAGCTGCGACTGTGTTGAGCAGCGCGCTAGTGCTAGTGGACCAATTCAAATTGCTATGGATTATGTCACTGTAGCTTCATTTAGATTGAAGGAATTAATCATAGGACATATGCTTAAAACTTTTGGCCTCCACATTTTTTTTTCAAATAAGACGTTCATGTTTGTATTTTCCATGTAGCAAAAATTAATTAATTTTCGTATGAATGAGTTTAATTTTTGCAGGAGTCTGAAAAATACCTTCTAAAAAGAAATGACTATGTTGATGTGGAACATTTTTTAGTGGTGCATAACGTACTCGTCGATATTGAGACGTCTATAGTAAATTAAAATTAAGATTTGTGTTTATAAAGATAAGTATTATATTTTTTTCGTGTATAATTTGAAGAATGAGAGATAATCAATTGACCACACTGGAAATGTGGTAAATCTAAAATGTTCGCTTGAATTTTGAGTTCAGAATATAATATTCCATTCTCTTTTACATTCCCCATTCTAAGATATAACAATCTGCTATATTTTTAAAAGATGCGAGTAATAAATTGCTAAACCAGTCGACAGAAAACATTCTTCCAAATCTTGCAAATTTTGGTTCACTAGATGCGCTTCGTGATTCGTGCATCAACTTCTTCTCCTCCAACTCCCCTTCTTCTCCGGCGCCAGGGACACCTCCAACTCCGGCAGGGAGCCGACGAGTTAGGGTCCCGGGGTGGGGTGGGGGTGGGAGAGGGAGGGGGAAGAGTGGGGAGTTCGCCGCCTTAAGAGTGATTGCCGTGGGAGGCGGCAGCCCGGCGGTGGGCGGCGGATCGGGCGGGCGGCCCCACCGAAGCCGCGGGGTCGGGAGCGGGCGGTGGACCGGTGTAGGCAGCGGGGGTAAAGCAGAAGGATTGATAGGAGGAGGCGGCCGGTGGTGGTGCCCCGCCGCCGGAGACGGGGAAGACGGCCGCCATCGGCTTGAGCAAGAAGAGGACAGGGAAGGGAGGGGGAGGGGGAGGGGTGGGGAGGGAAGGGGGCCGGCCGGGGGGCCTCGCCGGCGCCGTTGACTCCCTTCGACCCGCCGGCGAGGCGGGCGGCGGGGGATCAGGCGGTGGCAAGATGGGCGCGCGAGGGGAGCGGCAGCGGCGGAATGCGCGAGGGGGAGGGGGATCGGGAGGAAAAGTTAGGGTTAGGGCTGTACACGAATCTCAAAGCATATTCAACGGTCCAAAATTAGAAAGATAGAATGTGGGATTTTCTGTCAACGTATGTATAGACAGTCCAATATTCTAGGAGTAATAGCAAAACATTGGGAGTATTTCAGTCAATTTGTTTTAGTTCAGAAATTTGGGAAAATATCTAGGCTGGCTGCACCAGACCAAGGCCTGCGCCTCTCCCATCGCCGCCGCCCGCCGGCCGCACACCACGCTGATATTCCCGTGCGCCGCCACGATGCGCAACGGCAGGCCCTCTCCCAGTCGCAGGCCACAGCCGCAAGGCAAGCCCCAGATCGGGTGTGGCATCCCCCCACGTCGTCGCGGTAACCTTCTCTTCACCTGCGATCGGCCAACGGCGCCGTCCCCGCCTGCACCGGCGAGCGGCGAGCGGCGACCGTAGCCTGGGCCCTGAGGAGATGAGGGTGAGGCTCCACCGCCACTGGATCTGATCTGCCACCTTCCACCTGCGAGCGGTTTAGTGGATGTTGTCAAAATCAATTCACCGAAGGTTCGTTTTTTTTTTATTGATGATTTGCCGGTAGCGTATAGTCCCTATGTTAATCTGTTTCCCAGCATGCTTATAGGAACAATTGCTAAATTGAACAAAGGTAATAGGAACACCAAAACAATAACTGGGTATAGGTAAACTAGAAAATTGCCAAATTGGATCTATTTCTTGAAAGGAAAAAAAGGGAAAGTAACTTGAACCTATATTTTCAACCAGCAAAATGAGTAGCATTAATTTATTGTTAGCATCATAGTAATCCCCTCTAGATTCACATGGAAAATGCGAACATAAGCAGCATCTGGATATTTGTGAAGATGGAAAAATGACCTGAATAAAACAAGCAAACAAATATGCAAAAGTCCTAGAATAAGAAAGAAACATGATATTGATATGTAATAGGAACTATATATCATAAGTTTCCATGACCTTTCATTTTAACATTTTGCTACATGGGTCTCACTCCACAACATCAACCAACCAGTTTCTGCCTCAAGGATTTAGATTCTTACCTAAAGAAGAATCTACAAACCATTGCCAGCATTTGGCACCTCAGTTAAACGCCAGAGCAGCATCTTAAACTCTTTTTTGTTTCAACAGACTCGTTATAATATGATTGGATAGCATGGAATTTCCGTTTTTTTATCACCGCAGGGCATCCTGTCTCAGGTACTGGTCTTTCTGTTGCAGCATACTTCGCTGTGGACTGAGCATCGGTTGGATCAACCCTCTTGCGGAACAGAACCTTGGGTCTATTTGGGTGCTTCTTAGCTTCATTTTCCCAAATTTCTATTGTTTCTATATTGACCATAGAATCAAGAGCAACTTCCTCAAGGTAATCATGGTACTCAATCTTGATTTCAGAAAGACCAACTAGATCCTTGCAGAGCAATTGGAGTGACAGGAGATGTGGCAAAGCTCCTTTTTCAACTGTAGGGAGATTGGGATTTTGCACCACAAGGCATAAGTGTCGCATACGTGGGAAGTCACCATTTTTTATGATAAAGCCCTGAAGGTCAGATTCAACCAGTTTCAGATAAAGCAAGTGGTGCAATGTGCAAACGTTTGATAGATCCTCCTTATTCAGATTTGTTGATGAAAGGCACAGCTCTGTGAGACCACACAGTGATGTGATGAACTGTGGAAACCGGCTCAACTCGCCCTGCAGTTTCAAGGAGCTGAGATAACCATACGACTTCTCCAGACAACACAGTAGACGGTTAGGAAATTTTCTGGATCGAAGTGACAGAGAATGAGCACCAGTAGTGTCCATGCCAGCCTGAGTAAACTTCTGAATAGCCGCTGAAATTAAGCTGATACTGCTATTACGTTCAGCTGCGGGCTCGCACCATATCTTGACCTTTCTTAGTTTATTCATATGAACCATCAGGCGAGGAAACAAAGAGTTCTTGTCTACAACAAAACCTGCTAGAGTTTGCAATTTACTTTTATCTGATAATATCTTCTCTATTTTATTCGTTTCAAGGACCCAAAGGCCCCTTGCTTCCCTAATCTTAATCTTTCCAAACAGGTGAGCTAGATGTGGCATTATAATGATTTCCACAGGCAATGTGTTTATCCTTGTCTTCCTCAGGTCGAGTGTCTGTAAGCAATGCAGCCCTTTATTGATTTTTCTCGGAATATATGTAATGGTGCTCCCAAGGCCAAGGTATTTTAGATGCAACAGCTTGTATATGTACTTGACATGATCGTCCTTGAGATCATCACATTCTTCTAGATCCAAGACCCTCAACAGCTCACACTTGGCATAATCTAAAGCAAATTCCCCTGCATTTCCAAAGATCGTCAGAGACCTGGCACGAGGTTGCTTACCCTTTGGATTAGTTCCACAATCCATGTATGATTGATTTCCACTTGTAAGGCTCTGGGTTAAGAAGAGGTGGCGGCATTTGCTTCGATCTGGGTCATGGAGGGATGCAATGAAATTATCACACCTGGACTTGTGCAGCATGAATTCGTGCATGATACCGTGAGCCCTGCAGTTCTTCGCCCTTCCATTGTTGGTAACATCCATCGACCTGATGATATTTCGGTCCATTAGCTCCTCCAAGTTTGCATCTGCAACCTCCAGTGAACTGCGAGGATATTGGCATTGTACATAGCCTTCAGCTAACCATCGCCTGATCAGACTGCTCCTTCTGATGGAACAGCCATTGGGGAACACAGTCGTGTACAGTAAGCAGGTCTTGAGGGGATGGCCAGGCAGAGTGTTGTAGTTGTTCGCAAGAACTTGTCGCAGTTCTGCAAAGGCGTGCTCCTTCTCAATGTGATGACCTAGGTTGCAGCAGACTTGATTTCGGTAACATTCAGTGATCCTTTCTCGCCATAGAAAGTTTCCCACACTAACCAGAGCAAGCGGGAGGCCGTCGCATTTCTCCAGAATCGATGGCAAGTCCAACTCCAACTCAGGAGAGTATTCCTTTAGGACAGATTGCAGCAAATCCTTGGAATGGTTCACATTCAGAGTTCTCATATTGTACACAGAACCGGTACCATGGCTGCAGGCATTTGCAACTGGTTTAATAGTCGTTGTCACTAGTACTCTGCTTCTTGTTTCTGTAGGGAAGGTTGATTTTATACAGTTCCACTGCTTCTCCTCAATATCATCAAACACGAGAAGGTACCTAGCAGGTATAATGGAAATACAGAAGTGAATTTAATTCATTGGGAGAAATAACGGTTGTCAAGAGCATTTTTCAGGACAAGCAAACTAGCTAATTGTTGTTAATGATCCAAAATAAGCCTTTTTTGTGTCGGACAAAGTGTGAAGCAGTCAATAACTTAAGTTTTAACAGGTAAGTTGTACTTGTACATGCAGTTCAGATAGTTCGCTATATACGGTGAATCCAATTTCAAAGAAGAAGAAAAAAGTGTAACTGTAAATGCGAACACATGCTACGAAATTGTAAGATAGAACTGATTTCATCTGAAGGAAATTAAATTGCTGGGAAATGAGCTGAAGCAGAGAATTTCTCACCTCTTAGCATTCAGGTGTTGCCTGATATCAGCTTGGACTTGGGACTGTAGCTGGAATCTTTGCTCATCATCCTGAGGAATTTGATTGAATCTTTGGTCATCTTCCTGACGAATTTGGCCGAGTAACGCCGACAGGAGCCCCATGGTATCATCTCTGTGCTTGGACGCCACGACCCAGGCGCGGCCGTCGAACTGGCCGGCGATGTCGGGGCAGTCGTACACTGCCCTCGCGAGCGTCGTCTTCCCCGAGCCTCCGAATCCCACGATGGAGATCACGCGCATCCGCTCCGGCCGGCCCTCCACGTCCTCGAGCAGGAGCAGGTCAAGAAGCTCTTGCCTGGGCACGTTGATGCCCACAAGGCCACAGCTCTGGGCCATGTAATCCGTCGTATTTGCTGAGCCTGAGCTTGATCCGCCAGCTGCGGCGGCGGAGCCGGCGACGCCGTTGACGCCGTAGTTAGCCCTCCGCTCGTGCGCCTCCTCCAGCCGCGACTTGAGCCTCTCGACCTCGCCGGCGAACCGAGAGTCCGCCGCGAGGCGGCGGAGGAACGACGAATCGCGCTCGCACGCGGCGCAGGGCAGGAAGCGGTCGAGGCAGTCCTCGATGTCGTGCGCCAGATCCCGGAGCTCGTCGATGCATGTGGCCTGCACGGCGCTGATCGGCGGATCCTCCCCATTCCGATCCCGCGGGAGCTGGTCGTGCAGGAAGCCATGGATCACGCGGAGCTCCCGCTTGATGAAACCGATGCTGTCCTCCAGGCCCCTCCACTGCTCGTACTTCTTCTCCAGTAGCGCGAAGAGCTTCCCCACGACGATATTAGTGACAGAGCTCAGGGTCTCCATGTCTGCCTCTCAGAGCTGCACTCGCATCATCGCCGATCGAGTCGCACCTTTATCTTTCAAAGATTAATAGCAAGTCACGCGCATTTCAAAGATTGATAGTACGTATATCGCTTGAAGCCTTCAACCTCAATCAATTCTACGCTATAGAATAGTAATATCATCCTACCATAACAATTCAATCGTATGACGTATATTATGCTACCTATAACAATATACTACTCCCTCCGTATTTTAATGTATAACGCCGTTGACTTTTTAACCAACGTTTGACCTTTCGTCTTATTCAAAAAATTTATGTAATTTTCATTTATTTTATTGTAACTTGATTTATCATCAAATGTTCTTTAAGCATGACATAAGTATTTTTGTATTTGTATAAAAAATTTGAATAAGACGAATAGTCAAACGTTGGTTAAAAAGTCAATAGCGTCGTACATTAAAATACGGAGGGAGTAGTAATTACAATGGTTGGATGGATTAGGAAACAGAAAATCTACTGCACGGTGTCCTGTCACAACGGGATAAACTGGATAAGATCTCCTCTGCCTTATCTCCTTCCCTTCCTCTCCACAAACTCACTGTCTCTCTCTGGATAAGGCCAAGAAGGCTGAGAAGAAGCCGGCCAGGAGGAAGGGATCGTCGTCGTCTCCGGCGGCTGAGGACGACGACGACGGCACGGCGTCGGTGAGGTCAGGGGGGGGGGCGTCGGGGGTGATCTCGCTGCGCCTCCTCGATGCCGTCCTTCGCCCACTGCGGCGCCGCCTCGCGCGCACGCTCCCCGTCGCTGCCGGCGCCGGGGCCGCTCCCCTCCTCCCTCGTGCTCCTCGCCAAGGTCTCCATCGCCCGCTTCTCGTGAGCCACTGGTGCCGCCGTCCTTGCCCACTGCTCCTGCCGCCTCCTTGCCAGTGAGTGCAGATGGATCCTCTGCTGCCACCGTAGAAGCAGAAGCCGGTGGTCCCGGTGCCTCGGCTGCCGCAACGCCGGCAACAACCTGCTCTGGAACCTCTACCTCCTCTCCATCTGATACCTGGTACCTTGGGTATCAGTTGGTACCTGGTACCTGGTACCCTGGTATCGACTGATACCTGGTACCCTGGGTATCGAGCTGATACCTAGGTATCAAGCCTTGGTACCTTGGTATCAGGCCTTGGTACCTGGGTATCGACTGATACCTAGTACCCTAGGTATCGAGCTGATACCTAGGCATGGTATACCATATGCATGGTATCAGGTATCAGATGCCTAGTACCTAGGTACCATCCATGGGTACCATGTGCATGGTATCAGATACCAGATACCTATAATTATCAAGTACCACCTGGTACCTGATACCTATTGTACCTGGTACCACAGGTACCAGGTCAAAGGTGTGGGAAGGGGGAGCACGCCGTGTCGCCGTCGCCGCCTGGCTGACCGGTGGCCACACGTTCGTTGCCTCCTCTTTTGTTCTCCCTTCCTTAGTTCCTCTCCTCAACGTTTCTCTTCTCCTTCTGTTGTTGTTGCTGTCGGTGGGAGCAAAGAGGAGGATTTAGCGGGGGAGTTGTCTGCTGCTCCCGCTGCTCAGGGGCGACGACGCCGACGAGGAGGTGTGTGCTTCTCCAGCTGCAAAGGCAACACGACGCCGGCAAGGGAAGCGTGCGATACCAGGAGGAGCTGGCTAGGTATCGTGCCTCTTCACGTTGACAACAGGGACGCGGGACGCTATTTTTTTTTTGTCGTGTGTTTTAATTATCCCGTGACATCACTTTTCCACGGTATCCCGTGGGCTAGCTGCCCTCATTAGGAAAATAGTACCCCTTCCGATTCATAATAAAATACAAATTTATTTTTTCTAAGCCAAACTTCGGTAGGCTGATTAAGTTTGTATAAAAACATAGCTGCATTTTCAACACTAAATAAAAAATCATTAATTTTTAACGGAACTGATTTGGTGTTAAAAGAGTTCTTTTTACAAGAAACAATAGGATAAGCTCATACTGCATTAATATTTTTTTGAGAATTACACAGTACAACGCAGACACTCACAACGCACGCGCACTCACCCCTATGAACACACGCACGCAAACCCTATCCCTATGAGCATCTTCGAAGACTGGGCCGGCAAATTCCGGAGAGATTGACGAAGTCACCACAGGCGCCTCGCTGTCGACGGGTACGTCACCTACCACTGAAAGCACAACATCGTCATACTGCATTAATATATCAACCTTATATGTAAAAAACATTACAAGAGTAGTGTGATAAGAGTTCTTTTTATTTTTCCATAATTTTTTTCCATTTTATAGAGGTTGACTTGGAAAAAAAAAGTTAAAATGTTTTCTAATATGAAACGAAGTACTCTAAAATGCCTTTACATTAGCGCATAAATTTTAAACCCAAAATGGGGACTGCTATAGGACGTGATACCGTTTGGACGGTATACCCATATATGCGTTCTCTGATTCTCCCCACGGGAAGACATGCGCACTGCCTCGTACGATGGTGAGTGCACCATGTACAGGTACTCCTCCTCTCTTCACACCCTATCTCTTCTTCTCCTCCCCCTTCTCCTCTCCTCGGATCACCTTCTCCTCGCCATCTTACGCGCGGAGGATCCTCTCCTTCTCCTCCCCCTCCCCCCCTCCCCAATCTGCAGGTGGCGGCCCTAGCCTCGCGCGGCGGCGGCCGGCGGAAGGCGGCGGATGGGCGGCAGGCGGAAGATGGCGGTTTGGCCGGCGGAAGGCGGAAGGCGGCGGCCGGGCGGCAGGCAGAAGATGGCGGCTTGGGCGGCGGCGGGCGGCGAGGCGCAGATTTGTTTTGTTTTGTTTTCTTTTTTTTTTAGAATTTGTGATCCGGATCTGAGATGTATTTGATTTATGTGTGATGTGAATATGTGATGTATTTGTGATGAATTTTGTAGAAGTTGTGATGTATTTTTTTTAAAAGATTTTGTGATGTATTTCGAGATGATCGATTCGAGGATTTGGAGGTGATAATTGATTTAGGAGTTTGGGGATGGGGATGGAGTGAAATCAATATATTAAAAAAGAAAAGAAAATAATAAAGGAGCAACTGGGATCAGCCTGGCTCTATCTTTAGTTACCAACCGGAACTAAAAAGGCTCTACCGATTGGTAACTAAAAATGGATTTTTACTCCCGGTTATTTTACCCGGGACTAAAAATATCTTTAGTCCCGGATTCGTACTCCTGGTTGAAAAAATAGGACTAAATAGGGGTTATAAACCGGGAGTAAAAACTACTTCTCCACCAATGATCGGTCCCTAGCGTTTCCGTATAACTATACATACATATCCAGTTGCCCATATTATGCGTACATGCAAGGATACGCTTTTAAAAATATTTTTACGAAAATATCCCGATCGATTTATGTTTGTTTGAGTGCAACGGTGCATGTCAGAGCACACTCGTGAATATGCACATGTTCAGTAACGCGTGCACATACGTCTTACGTATAATTAAAAAAATGGTACATATTTAGAGCTCAATAGTACACACAACTACTAGCTCCAATTTATCTATAGTCAATGTAATAGTTACATACTACACTATTAATACCTAGTCCCACCTGTCACAGACACATTGCGTCTTGGAGTCCGTGCTACAGCTGGCTACAAATCTGTAGCCCGCTGCTCTTCTCTCTCCTGATTTATCTTCTTAAAATATGTTTGCAGCTGGCTTATAGCCTGCTATTGTACCTGCTCTTAGGTGCTTTCCAGTTGTTAATCGTAAAAAGACGAAATTATTCTATATTCAGAAGAAGACGAAGACTTGATTGGATCAAAGTCAAGTTGCTCTTCAATTGAACACGAACTATAATTAAGCAGGCAAGTTGTCGGAGTAGATAAGATCGATGATAAATATGCGTTCTATACGGCAACTTCAACGCTCACTCAGCTTTTTTTAAAACAAAGTTTAATTAGTGATAAGGTAGAAGATCAAACTGAACCTCACGGGAAAAAAAATCGTGGAAAAACAAGCTCACGGGCGCTAGATTGCAACCACGTCTGGTGCGGTAAGAGTTTAATGGTATGTTATAATACGGTTAAATGCTTTGATCGAGGAGAGAAGACAGGAGCTAGAGGAGAAGCGGTCTATAAATTTACAGCCGGTTTTGATATAAGAACTAAGAAACTATGTGAGAGAAATAAGTGGACTCTGTATTAATTATAAAGAGCTAACTATTACTCCATATGAGTAGGCTGAGAGAAAACTAAAACATCTTATAGCTAATAGGTCGATTTTATTATTAGCCTTGCTCTAATGCGATGCAGCCTGGTGATGTGGCACGACACTCCCACGCTCACGGCTCACCGTTAAGAGGAGACAAACCCCACAAGAAGAACAGGCAGCGAGTGTGAGCACGCACGCGACAGAAGGCAAAAGTGAGAGGGGAGATATAGTGCGAGAAATAGAGCAAGAGGCAGAGACGGACTTGGCCGAAAGGCCCCTTTGTGTGCCTGATATAACTGGTTTTCCTGTGAGCCAACTGTAAAGTTTTTTTATACCGTTTCTAACTAGGTGCACTAGCTAGGATTGATTTTAATTATGTGCTGTGTGTTAGCAAGTCTAAGAGAATGTATAAAGGTATAGTATGATATAAGCTTTTAAATACATATCACTAACAGACTATTTTCAAATATCAATATCCTTCTCTGTAAAATATGGCTTAAAAGAAACGATCTACTTTGGCAGAGGTTATGAGCAAGATATCGTTGAATATTTCATTTCGACGGTTAATTATAGGACCTAAGTTAGTTGAATAGAACGATTTGATTTCTCAACTAGTTAACATAACTCTATCAGACGAAAATGACCAATTTTGAGTCAAATCCATGTACAACGCAATCATCAACTCCAATGTAAGAATCTGCAAGAGAATTTTATGGAAGGTAAAGGTATCACTAAAAATTGAAATATTTATGTGGTTTCTGCACTAAAGGTAATCTTAAAAAAAAGATAAACCTCACTAAGAGAAAATGGAGGGGGGACAAGCAATGTTATTTTTATAATACACAAGGGACTATCCAACATCTTTTTTCTGGCTACCATGTTACACGCTTTGCTTGGCGATGTGTCTTCTTTGCCTTTAATATTCCCCATCCCCGCAATGCAAAAGATATTTTGGGTAATTGGCTAAGCGAAGTGCCTAGGCTCACAA